ATTCCTCCGTTTCTCCACATCAAAGAAGCTGCACCTGCCACCTCAGAGCTTTTGGAGCTGGGATCATCGCGCTATGACGGTTTGTTTGAACCTCGCATCCCCGTGGGGGAGGGATGAGTTGACGAATCGTCAGCCACTGGGATTTGAATAGGGATTTGAGGGTGTGACCTGGACGGGGGATTTCCGATCATTAACAAAGTCAAGGAAGTCCAAGGGACTTTTCGAATTCTTCGTGCCGTGCCCGTGTCTTCGCTCATATCTTGACCTGTACGGATGATCTCGTCGTTGCTGGGATAGTAACGATGAGATGTGGATATTTAGTACAGTATTGATGTCTAGTTCGGGGGTATTACACCCAGGCCCCTATGTGTTGATGGAGCGTACTGGTATCAAGGAATTAAACGCCGTTTGGTTGACTATGGTAGTAGAAGTGACTTTGGCCTTTGGCTTATCTCAGTCTCTGTACTCTGTACTCTGTGCCACAAGCTATGATGGGCAGCCAGTAGCCAGTAGCCACTAGCCAGAGCTAAACTTACAGGCACTGGCGTTGGCTGGCTAGCTCGCTAGACTAGGAGCTCTCCGCTCCCAATCACAAAACACAACTGTGAAGAACTCCAGGTTTGTCATGACTCGGTCAGCAATCTCTGGGCATCATTTACGCAACAGAAACTTCTGCTTCATGGCATATCAGTAGAATGTAAATGGGGTGATACTGCATGGCTTAGTCTCTACACAAGACATACTGAACTGAACCCTCTGCAATCTCAACACAGTACAGATAGTGCGCTATGTAACCCCGGATCGCCGATCGTCCACAAGATCATCCTGTGCTCGCAGACACAACACGTCAGCATACCCAGGCTATATTACGTTCAGTAGAGTCGGATATACTGTAGAGTGTAGACTGACGGAAAAGCCCTTGCAATTCCATATCGACCACTGAGTCTTGACAGGCTGCCACTATTGTGTTGAACACCGAAGTGAATATAGGGTTTCCCTCTGCGTAAGTGCGTAGACTCCCTCACAATGACACCGATCTGACGGGAGTCTCGGACGTGACTAACATCTGAAACAGGTTAGTAGTAGTCTCGTCTCGACTCTCGAGACGAACCGCAACAAGCTTTCTGGGGAACGGCACTTGAAAATCGCCCGAGTTGCCGCCAAGAGGTCGACATCCCCATTAAGGATCAATGGTTCATACTAACAATTACCCAAAACACAAGGGAAAGTAATGAAGCATGCCAAACGATGAAGTTCGCCCCCTGCTTGCCTTGCGCTATTGAAAACACACTATGACTGCATTATAAACGGATTCTGCCACACTACATCGCCTCTCTCCTCTCCTGGTAATCGTCATTTACAGCTGCAGATATTGATGCGATACAATCCCTGTCTTCAAGGATCAACAGTATGTACAATTGTATACAGGGGCTAGTCAATTTCGTCGTCGACTTTTCATGCAGAAAATGTATTGACCCAGTGCAGTATTACCGAGACGCACACTGTACGACTTTGTACATTCCTAGGAATTTCCAATCCAACCTTTCCACAAGCCTTCCATTCTTCTTCAGCCTGTATCACAAGAAGCACAAAACTTGCTCCAGCCGTACAGTCCATCCAGTCCATGTACCCACCAATTTCAATTCTGTACGGGTAGAAGATCCACCATTTTCATCATCATCCCTACTGTACTACGGTACTACTGTACTGTACTGCATAGTTGCATCCATGATCCACGATCCAACAGATCTGCAGTGACGACTCAGAAGGACGAAACCACCCTCGTCTCGAATCTTTTTCAACAGAACCATGTCTCTCTAGAGAGGGGCACTCTACTAATTGGCTATCGAGTTGTCGATCGACGTAAGTCTGAACAAGTTGATCATCATTCTTTGTTGGTCCACGGACCAGAACGTTTCACCCGGTGACCCATCGCCTCATCGAGTAAATGATCCACGCGTCCATCACATCATCCGTGCGAGTGGCCCAGTGTTTCTAGTCTGCAACGGTAGATCGTGTGCGACAGCGAAGGGTCTCAGTGTACATGTTTACAATTGTATATATGCCTGTATGGCTATGCCATGGTGTACTATCATAGTCATACAATATTGAATACTATAAAATTCGTAACGTACTGTATGAGGTTGTTGCCGTCACCGGCGGGTCCCTTGCGCATTTTTTCTGGTTGCAATGAAATGCTTCTGAGAATGTTCTACTCGTCCCGGGTATCTCCACCTGCCGATCTTTCCTCGACAGGCCAGAAATCAAACAGTGAGGACTGAGGACATCCAGGCGTACGGAAAAGAACTCATACTATAGTTATGTATGCGGGCAATTCCAAGGCAAATCGCGAACAGCATGGTATCCTACCTTTACGCCGTCTATGAGACTACACATGCAGAAATACCGTGTCAACTCGTCAAGCACCAGACAGGTTGAATCTCGACTCCCTAAGCTTTACTCAACTGAAACCAAATCAAACCCTAACTTCCAACCGTATCCATTCTAAAAAGCAATTCGTAAGATTCGAAAATCCCTCAACCCAATCGCCCCTTAACCCACTCACCAGTCGATCACAGATGGAGCAAAGACGGTACAGCCCGTCGCGAATGACCTCATTCAGACCCACAGCCCCTAGCCAGAATCTTGTTTTCATCACTCTCTGCTAGTGGAGCTGTCGACCAATTTTTGTTTCCTGTGTGAACTTCGCTCTTTGTGCTGAGGGTGCCTTGTCAGTGGAATAATCATGCGATCGGTTTGTTGTTTTTTTGTTTTGTTTTTTTTGGCGGGTGTTTGACGGGAGAAAGTGTCCACACCTTGCTACGTTGTCTAGACCGATTAAGTGGCCCAGATCTGACGGGCGAAGTTGGGCGCAACTAATATGGTGTTGGGATGATTGATCCGGTGGATATTTTCCCCAACACGTGCGACAGTCGACTGATGTAGAGATTCTCGTTATTTCCCCCCCCCCCCCCCACCTTTGTGACTCTAGCCTATATTGGATGGTATGAGGTGTGGATTCTCTGTTGTGGTCAGGATTATGATGCCGTGGGTCGCATTTTTAGGAAAGACACAGAGTTGTTTGTCGTGATGCCTCGCTTATCTGGTAGGATGATCGTCGCTGCATCAATATAGAGTCTAGAATACCGACACAGGGTACCACCTGCTGATATCTGAGGGAGCCACAAACATCGACCTCGTCCACATAGCGTAATACAGCTCCATCAACGACCTCATCAAGGTGAAGAATGTCAGGCAGCTAGGTACCTGGGAAATCTCAATCGGACGCGCTAGATCGTGAACCAAGATCCTGTAGGCCAAGCCGTAACGGGAGTGGCTCAGAGTAGTCAGGGTCGGGCGCTACTCGAAACAGTCTTGGCGCTTCCATTCGAGACTAGCTGGAGAACCTGGAGGGAAAGGCATTCTACTCTGCTTGGTTGCGCATAGTTGGCGTGGGAGTTATTTATTTGATTGTGCAATGCTTGTTTTTCAGTCTGCACCGCGGGTTCCACCCATTTTCTGGCGATGATATCCCTCGAATTCGAAGAACATGGCGTTTACCGGGGCGGGACGTCATGGGAGACGAGAGGGGACTCAGTGCAGAGTCGAGACGGCGAAGAAAACGTGAGTTCCATATAGTACTTGCCAGACCACCTACAGAAGATTCGAACAGTTACATCGTGCAACTAGTCCCGTTCCTCCCGGTAATGTTATCAGTGCTAGGAAGCTGTACGTGAATAATAGCCCGTCGCAGCTAAGAGTAGTCCAGTCTATATCGGCAGCGTCTCTCTCACATGCATCAAGTCGTTAGACTCCATCAACATGCAGATCAAGTCCTCATCAATTCCATCCCCAGGCATCTATCTCTCCTCTCCGATTCCCTCTCTCCAATCGCCCCGCTAAGATGCACGAGCCCCTGAAGGACTCAATTTCCTTACACCCCTTGTCCTGGGTTCTACTTTTGGCTTTCTTTCTTAAATAATTTCCACTCTTCATGCAGACTTTATGCAGACATCAATCCTACCCCCTGTCACGAGCAACTGTCCGCACGAGCCAACGTTGCTCTCGGTCAACACCCTTGCACACCTGCACAACCCTACTACACATATTCATAATGTATATCCGTTGAGACGAAGTTCATCGTATGACCTAGCACGGCGGACCTCAACCATGTCTGGCTGATATATGCAAGAGGACGGGTAAATTCAAAGTCAAAATGACGGCTGGCGGGCTCTAGTGCTCTAGACTCCGCGTGCCTGGGCTCGCCTGGGCACCGGTCCACCTCTATTGTCTTCAGCATCAGCCGTGCCATTCGGTACGCCGGTGCGTAGGGTTGCACCGTAGCTGGAGGTGAACGTACCACAGGAGGCATGGAACGCTCGATGACGTGGTTCGTCCACAGGTAGGTGCAGGTGAGAGCGAGGTCTAGCGACTCGACGCGACTCGACTCGACATGACTCGACACGGAAGAGGCTCCCTGTCCATTTATATACTAGCTCCGGGTCTATTCACCCACACTATTGCAGGTGGACGGGTGAGATCCAATCTGTTTCTTTGGAGATTTCTTGGCATGATGCGCTTTCGGGCTTATTACTTTTTTTTTTTTTTTGGTGGATTGCGTTTCTTCAGCGAGTGTCGGGTCTACATCCATGTAAATGGAATGATGGACAATGTAGAGGTACAAGATGAACATGGTGTGCCCTCGGTCGTGTCCAAAATCGGGAACAATCGTCGAATGACTGATCACACTGCCCTTGTGAAGAAGATGATGAGGATTTGGGGGAGCAGGGTAATATGAGAGATCCTTTGCTTTGGAGGCATGCCTCGGCTACAGGGGGCCTCAGATCTCCATGTCATCTTGTTCTTGTTATCCGATGCATAAGTACCTGTAATAAGTAACTATATACAGTCCACACTCATTGCACTGTGCTGTATCTGTTCAGTAGTTCCGTGTTCCCCGTTCCACGGCCATCCTAGCCTTTCCAGTCCACATCACAGCTTCACTTTTTGGTCCACGCACTCGAATCATAACCGACCATCAACGCCGTATACTCGGGCCCGGCGGCCGCCCAGCCTTTGATACCGCCTTCCAGGATCAAGCTCTCCATAGAGGTATCTTGTTTGAGTGCCAAGTAATCCGCAAACCAATTGGCCGTACGTGGACCCCGTCCATTTGAGGAGCCTACAACCAACACCAGTCCAGGCAGTTAGGCTCGCAGGCTTGATACTCGACGATACAATGGCAACAACTCGGTGGTCGATGGAAAGAAATCCCCACTTTGATGAACGAGAGTACTCACCACAGTACCAGATCACGTGTTTCACCCCGGTCTGGGATAGTAGCGAATATACTGCCGGTAATGTCGGGTAGAGACTCTGGGCGGGGAGGTTGATTGATCCCTGAATGGTGCCTCCCTGTTTGATCATGCAGAGGATTAGCAGACTCTAAATTAAGAGGAATCTCCGGGGGTTTCGGGGTGGGGAGAAAAGGAACGAATTCATGAATTGCGTGTGAGAAGGGCGGCGCATCCAAGCAGCTATCAGTCCAGTGCGTGAAGGGAGTGAGGATCAAGCCTTGCTCCCCCACGGGTGATCATAGTAGTACTCTCCAGATCGCCCGTCACCGCGCCTTCCCGACAAGAGGACACTCATACGGGACTGAACAGGGGGGGATACGAGACGGGAGAGGACTAACCTCGAAATCCGTGCGTCGCACATCGACCAGGACGAAATCCTGGCCGGGTTGTTTCCCAGTCTGGAACCACTGCAGAAGCTCATTGCGGGGTAAGGACCGCACGGCAGACTGCGGAGCGGGATAAGCCGCGTGCCATGGAAGCTCTGCAGACGTCGTGGAAGTGGTGGTCGCGGTAGACTCGGCCATGTTGCCAATGGTCAGGTGCTGTAGGACTAGGGCCTCTTCTGGCGTCGAACCCAAGGGATACCTTATTACCTAGAGTGGCAGGATTGAGCAGCCTGATGCTGGGGATGAGGTTCTCAGATTGGGGAGTGAATGACGGCCAGGAGAGGAATGGGCCAACGTCAGACGCAGGAGGGTACCACTACCACGTATGTGGGATTGTGTACAACTGTACAACTGTACAACTGTGTCGGGTAAAGTGTAAAGAGTAGAGTGTGTCAGTGTAGTGTACAGCGATGGACAGATTAGGTGGTTAGTGCGCGGGACAGGCCTCTAATCCACCATGATATCGTCCAGTCATGTGAGACCAGCGAGCGTTATCGGCTCTGAGGGGCTTATCTTGGCTTGTGCCTCTCCGACCTGCTGATTGGGTCCCCCGCCCTTTTGGCCAGTCTCGGGGGATCCACCGCTGCAGCAGACGGTCACATGGTCGATCGCTGGATGTTGTGGGGGCTGTTCGCGGGACGAGCTGGAAAGTTTGTTCGATCCTGGACCACGTTGGACCGCCTTGGGCCGCCTGACGTCCACATCGGTCAAGAGGCTGGAAAGCATCGTGTCCCAGACGATTGGCTTGTCATGACCCTGCGCTTACGACAGGGCGCCTTTTCCACCGCGTTGGGTCTCTGCTTATCGGACCCGGTGGCCCAGTTGACGATGAGGATCGGCTTCGAGACTTCCAGTCCCGAGCGACCCAGACGGACACAGGCCGCAGTTCATGACCCAAAATGCCTTCACCGTGCAGGGATCGACTGCGGGAAAAAAAAAGCAAATGATGACCCAGTCGCGGGTCTACTTCACTTATCTCCCACTTCAACCACTCGAGAGCAGGCGGGAGACGAAGAGAGGGCGGGCCTGACGACTTGATCTGAATCCCAATGAGGCCAGATCCCATCCTCTTGTCGGCTGGATTCAAGGTTCAGTCAGTGTGGACTGTGGAGAGTGAGACCAGACCGAGAGGAGCCGCGCGCGTGGTCCAGCGCCCCCGATGCTTCGTCGAAGCTGCGCAGGTGCTGGTGGAGTTGAGCATCGGATCAATGTCCGAGTGGGACAACCCAGTGCCTCGGCTTATGGCGATATGATTCCAGTCATGACACTGATGTGTCTCTATCGAGACACGGGGAGGATCCAATCTCTGCCTCGTTCACTGGGAAACGACACCCAATGTGTTATCGTGTGGTCCATTCGCTAGTCTCAACGTCGGCCTTCTTTCGGGCATTGAATTGTCCTCCAAGCGCCACATAGCTAACATTGAGATCGACCAGCCAACGGGATTGGTACCAGCCTATAGCCCCGGATGAGCCAGGAAGTGGAGGAACTGAACCGAGCTTATCCTCATCTCATGACGCGTCGAGATCGTGATCATTCTCCTATCCGCGGAATGAGCATCACATTGAAAGAAAAAAAAAAACGCTCAAAAATTCCACTTCTCCAACCATACGGATTCAGACTCATCCGGTGCGGCCATCAGTCTGGTCCGGCCGGACGATATCTCTGTATCCGAGGAATTTCCTCAAAAATCTGCTGTAGCCTCGCCCACGTCAACGATGACCATGATATCCATGGTAGAGAGGTAGAGAGCAAGGAGAGACGTCTACAAAAAGGGACCAAGAAGGCCCGGTCTCGTTGATTTGTGAGCAAGAGCTATTCTGTCTGCTCACTTGGGAAGGTGGCCTGGCATGGATTCTCTGACCAAGGCTCGATTGATGCCGAAACCAAGAAGATCCTAGCCACCCCCAGCCGCGTGATGAGGGACCCTCTACAACAGGCTGTCGCCCAAGTAAAGCTCAGTAATAGATCAATACTGTGATCCTTCAAGTGGAGTCGAAGTTTCCATTCTTGAATCACCACCCCGGATTGCGGGGAGATCGGCCGTCGGGACTTTGCTCGACACGATCGCCGAGCAAATGGCTCGGGTCTACCATTCGGGGCGTCTTGGTTCGAGGCAAGATAAAGACGGGCGTGGTTCATGGTCTCCTATCAGCCTTTGTCGGCAGCGTTTGGCTGGGAGAAAGAGTTTCTGTTGTGAAACGATTACAAAGCAGCAGTCATGCCCTCTGACATGGCTGCAGATGACCTCGTGACAATGCCTAGCGCTGGACTGGAACTGCAAGAATCACCACCAGAGCCAGCTTGAGGTGTATCCAAGCCCGCCGATGGGAAAGATTCCTCCGACACCGCCAACCCAATGAGAGGTTCAATCAGTTAGGCGGACTGCAGCACATGAGTTGATCGAGTTCTTCTTCAGCCTATTGTCTGCGTACTGAAATCGCCAGGTTCGAGAGCCTAGTTGATGGAGAAAACTGCTCGACGTTGGCGACAACGATATCCAACATATGAAGGGTCACGCAGCGTTCGAAAGATATACTGAAACCTGCGACCATGTCAGAACTAGACCTTAGTTCAAATGTATGTATGCTACAAGCTTTGCTGCCTGGTCCAATCAAAGGCATGAATTCGACGTTATATTTCATCCATGAGCGCATAGACAAAACTTTGCCAATATGTACCTACTTACTATAGTACCTTCTACCTTCTACCTCGTGCGTATCTATCCGCAAGTTTAGAAAGCGAGTAAGATAACAAATGACGACTGTGGCCACAAGCATGGCCTGGTCGCATCTATCTCCCCGCATTTTTATCGCTATCTCATGCAGGAGACATGCACGTTCCTTTCAAGACGATCAGACATCGCGTACTTGGCGTATATCTGTAGCCCAGCCTGACGGTCATATGATGCCTCTCCGCAGATTCGCCACTTCATCCAAACCTTACTTCACCCTACCATCGAACCTAAGTTTGCAGCATGAACCATTCTTGGAAAGAGGAAACTATCAGCCCTAGACAGAGTTTCCGGTTAGGACTCAGAAGAGGTTTAATAAGTTGAAATGAATCTTGAAGCAGACTGCGTTGAACTAGCAGCATCCTTTTCGGCAATTGATCAGAGGTACTGTTTGCAAGTGTTGGCCACCAATCTGGAGCCCCTGTGATCATATTTTTGAGTTGTTGCAGCTGTATCTCCATACATCCTGTATCTCCATATATCCTTATTACTTTGTTAAGTAGTGATCTTCGACCCGTTGTGAAGATTCTGCATCAATGCACAGTGGGATTAGTAGTGCTAGTAAATGGTTCTAAGAGAATCAAGTCCAGCATAGCCATCCATCACCCAGTTCCTATCTGGCCACCTATACCTACTCCTTGAAGTATGGTCACATATCATATAGTCCATTAATAGCATGTAAACACGTGCCAGTATATGTTTGCAGATACTACACAAGTGCCTTGGTACATCTTGTATCTACCTGGTACACAATCATCGCCACAACCTGCTAAACCTCACGAGTAGGTAGTCATGCCAAGTACCTGCGCCACTGTTGCCAAAGCACGTACAAATGTACACAGATAGTACAGACTACTGTATACAAAGCCACGTACATCCAGTCCACAGTCCACAGTCCACACTACTGCAATACAACAGCACTGATACAAATATCTAGTCAACCGTGAAGAGGGAACTATTAAGTAGGAAGCAGTGTTAAGCAGATTCACAGAAACGTCTTTGCCTAGCCACAATCCCCCACACAGTGGAGAAGATCTGCAATTGTATGTTCCAATTTGACTGACGCCAGCGCGGACCAATCTAGGACTTGTACATAGCACATAACTACTAACTTCGTTAGTGACAGTCTACATACTGAATAGTGAATGCCTGGAACCGGGAAGAACTTTGCCCATGGACATTTGATATTCATGTGGCTTGGCTTTTGAGATCAAGTGGGGAGGTAATTGGATCGAGGAGCGGCTTCAATTGGTTCTGGTAAGGTTGAAGGTACGACACGCCGATATATGAAATCGCTCCACGTCCACTCGGACGCAGGGCGCATGGACGAGGCTGCCGTAGAAGCAATGTGAATTTCGCATATCCTGCACGCCCTGATTCTGCCGGACTCAGCGATGCCAATCCCAGCTATAGAGATGTAAAGTGCAGATGCGCTTGACTGGTAGAAATCGATTCGACGTATATCTTTACACTGTGTCGGCCAAGACAATCTATTCTACCGGAGTAATGGCTAACTGCAAGGAAACAAATAGCATTGAAGCTCAGTACGATTGATTCAAGATAGCCCTAGAGTGCTCCGGTGATGCTATAGGCCAGCGGTGAATGTACCGGGCATCATGGAAAAAATTGATGTGGAGATTCGAAGACACCGCATCAAGACTGACGCCATTCAGGTCCATTAACCGTTGGCCTTGGCAAACTCCCAAGAAGCTACCTGAGACGTGACCTGCCTGGAGTAAAGCCCGTATAATCCAATGGCCAAGGCACCATGCTGGCGGCACATAGGACACGCAAAAGTATCATTTTGCATCGCCGTCGCCAATTACCTGCCTACCCTCCATCAAGGAGGAATGCATTGACTTATGCAGAAGCAGCTCCTAAAGCAATCAAGGCATTACATGTAGTGACTTACCGAGTACTACCGATATATTCAAAGGCCACCCTGTATTCTGAACTGATCCCATACAAGAATATGGAGGAAGGCGGAGATAGAAAGAACAATGCTGTCTTAATGCAAGAGGAATATGAATAGGCACGGGAGGTTGGAGACAATCGCTTCTCAGACAACGCAAGCAACACACACGACAGACCAAACACGATTATAGACAGAGCCAATAATTTGAGCGGATCACACCGAAAAAGCAAAGCAAAGCTTACAGAAAAGCATCAAGACAGACACGCAACAAAACGTCAGACAAACCGAAAAGGCCAGCAGAATATATGCAACAATGCAGCCCCTTCCAGAGAGAGCAGATTTATTCGCGTAGCCAATGCAATTAATCAAGAATGCACTTATTTCTCTCACACAAGGATGATGCCCCAAGAGACAACCTCGAGAACCACACCCGAGAGAAATAACAGCCCGTAGAGTAGCACCCAGCCAAAGACATTAGAGAGATTCCATACCGAGCAAACTTGAAGCCGATCAAGATTCACCGAGGTGCTGTTGTACGCCAAAAAGATCGAACATTCATCAGGGCTGATGAGTGCCCGGAGTTCTTGGTCATAGGTTTGCGCTCGATCAACTGGTCCAGCGGGCGGGGGATGGCAACCTTTCTTTCTCTTGACTTCCCATTCTCGTGGACCGGCTATTGCATGTCCACCTATCCACGAGAGAACATCGCGAGAGTTCGAGTCAGCCCGAGAAAGAAGAGGAATGGAACAGCCACGCCCGAGACCGAGCAGAGTCTCGGTGAGAGCTTGAGATTAATTTGTAGATGCAAAATGTCGGACAGGCAAAGAGACGAGATGACAGAAAGACGAACAGGAAAACACAGGAAAGCAAGGACAAAAGATCTTTCAAATTCGCCGTTCCGAGCCGTAGCACCATGAAAAGATTGAGAAGACGTCGCATGAACGAGAGAGATGAAGGGAATGTGCTCCTTCCCACCAGGAATGTGGATGTCGAGGACACCAATGGATAGGAGGAGCAGACGGTGAAAATCGACAGGGGAGGAGGAAAACAACCAGACAAAAGGCCAAGCAGGTCAGGTGGCGGGGAACGACCCGCACCAGTTCGGCCTGCTTTGGGTTCCAGGCAAGCATGGCCTGGATAGGTCAGGCGAGGGAGTGACCTTGCTATCAAATAATTTTAATTTCTTCACTCAATGCTCTGACTCAATCTGGGGAGTCAAAAAGAGCAAAGCCACTGAGAGATGTGGGCATTCAATCCAAGAAGAGAAACGGATCGTAATGACCAACCATGAATGGAGTTTAGCCTGTAGAAAAAAAAGAGAAACGGAGCGAGAGAATAAGCTAAACCACCCAACGCAAGTTGTACGGATGGAGTGGTGGTTGAGGAATCACCTACCGCAGCACAGAGCCTTCATCATTTTTTGGACAAAGGTGGGCTGCGGGTCACTGTTCCCTTGCCCACCAGCTGGCTGACCGGTCATACCAGGATTGCCAGGGCTTCCCATGCGAGCAGGAAGATGAGCATTGGAGTTTTGGAACTGAGCCTGCGTGGACGCGGCCGGGGTATTGCCTTCCAAATTCCCGCTCTGACGTTTGGGTGGCACGCCCGAGGCGCTCTGTCGCTCGCGTTGCTTGCCAGCTCCGGCTTTGTTGGCTGGGGATGGGGGGGGGGCTGCGCCGCGTTAAGACGGTCAGTGGTCACGCCGGGCCGTTGGCTGCTGCGGATCTGACTGCCCTGCAGTTCTCGACCCGAAGAACTTTGGTGCTGGTTGTGGAGGTGAGCCTGAGATGGGTACGACTTGTAGTCCCAGCCACGACCGTTGTTCAGCTTCATCCAGTCATATTCTCCATCCTCCACCTCGCCGGCGTTCTTGAGGGCCTGGGTCAACAGGTCACGCAAGTAGTCGTAGTCGGGTGTATCCTCGAAGCCGAGGTTGCGAACATAGCTCAAATACTTGTTGAATTCCTCTGCATACCGAGAGAAAAAGAACAAAGAGTTAGTGACCATAATGACTTGATTTGGAAGGGTAGAAGATCTGTTTCATACCTGGATATCCTTCACAGAGATCCTTGATGGCAGTTGTTTGCTTCTTCTCGCCGATTTTCTCATACTTCTGCTTGTTAGTGGCAGCTTTCAGACCCTGCCAAGGAAGACCACCCCTCAAAAAGTACATGAAGACGTGTCCGAGGGCTTCCAGATCGTCGCGACGAGATTGTTCACGGCCCAAGTGAGTATTGATACTCATGTACCGAGCAGTACCGGACAGTGACTTCCGCTCACGGTAAGGAATGTGTTGCTTGGTCTTAGGGTCGCGATACTGCTTGGCCATTCCGAAATCGACCACATGAATGACGTTGGCGGCTTTGGTAGACGGACGACCGATAAGGAAGTTGTCCGGCTTGATATCGCGGTAGATCAAGTTCTTCTCATGGATTGTTTGGACGCGCGACAGCTAAATAAGGAGACGCGTTAGCGACCTGAGGAACTGAGGACCCTTTCGTACGTGTTTCCCTCACCATTTGTTTCGCGACCATAACAACGGTTTTGGTAGTGAACCGGCGGTTGCAGTGATCAAAGAGGTCTTCGAGACTGGGGCCCAGAAGGTCGATCACGAGAATGTTGTGCAGGCCCTCCTGGCCAAAGTAGTACACATTGGGAATACCGGCTGAGCAACAGGGTTAGCAGGGACAATGCGGCTCGGTAGAAAGCGGCCTTGAAGGCGCCGTCGCCAAGCACTTACGGCATCCAACCAGAATCTTATACGTCCGGTACTCATCGCGAAGCTGGGGAGCGTCGCTCTTCCGAGGTTCCTGGAAGTTGTCAGTCGATGAAGCCAGGAATAGAAGTGTCAGAGATTGCTAATACGAGAGCCGACGCACAAATTTGATAGCCACTTGCTGGTTGTTCAGGAGGTTGGTGCCCTCAAAGATGACACCAAAAGAACCCTCGCCGATCTTTTTGCCCACGCGGTAGTGGACGCCCACCACGTTCGAGGAGGAAGAAGCCATCGCGACCACGTTTTGAATACGGTAGGTCCAGAGACGAGGCTTTCGATCACAGGGACACTGGTTTCAGGAGCGCAGGCACGTGATATCACACCGTCTAACGGCCCGACGTCAGCACGATCTGAATTACACAAAAGCTATCGACCAACGCAGAATATTCGACATACACCAAACACGATGGAAGGAATGCCAGATGGTGAGAACAAGAGCCGACCGTCGATTCTATCGGGGAATATGGTTTCCTGGGTCGGCGAGTTGACGGATCACGAGAAATGTATCGAATAGGGGATAACCAGTAATTGATCGCGAAGAGGATGGGACTAAATGCTGGAAACCGCGTCGAAGCAGAAGAAGCCAAGCTGCACAGGCTGTTTTGAGGAGAATCGACGACCGAATGGGGTTGAGTCGGTGTCGTGGATGGGCGTTCGGAGCGGACGAATCTGGGCAGATGAGAGTTGAGCAGAACCGGAGGCAATTGCCGAGACACACAGCGGTAGCGAGACGAAACCCAAGTCGTGAATGAACCGCAGAACTCGACTGTGAGGCACGTACAGCCGTACCGGACTATGAAAACCCGTGGTGAGGGAGAAGGAGACGGGCAAGAAAGAGGGGGGAAGGAGACAGGAGAGGAGAGGAAGAGGGAGAAGTTGCGTGCAGACAGGGAGTGGAGAGAAGGGGAGCGGATGAGAGGGAGGAGAGAGAGTATTGGGGGCGTATTTGGTACCCGTGGAGGACGGTCCAAGAAGGGGCAGTGCCGCCGGGACAAGCGGTCACGGATGGTCATAGCCGTGTACTCAGTACCGTATTGAGAAACTTACCAACCGTTGGGCGCTGGCTCGGTCTCGGCTATACGGGGGGGGGGCGCCATCTTGAGACAACAGCAGACCAGCACTTCGTTTACCGCTCATGACAGGTGAAGTGATTGAGTGGTATATATTCTTGCAGCAATTTCAGCTCGTTGGTGCATGGGGTGCTTAGTTGCTTACACCTGCAGACTGCCTATCATCCTTCGACAAAGAGGTGTTATGGCTCACTGGTTGTCAGTAGATGTGGTCAACTCCAGAACTTGGTAGGCATCATCATCACTGCATGCTACGATCTACGATCTACGACGGTTCCCTATCACTAAAGCTACCAGGTCCTTCTTGATTCAAACGAAGACGTCCTTTTGATGATGAATCACAACAATGCAATCTGAGCATCTTCATGGGCCGAGATACTCCCTTTTCGCTCCCAGTTCGAGATCGACCTGTTCATCTCGGGTTGAGGCTTCCAAAGCGCCTAGTGCCCCATCGGGACGAGCTTTGCCCTCATCGACTGTTGACTGTGGTGCCCATAAGCGCCTCCTCTCTCCATCGCATGACCTTCCCAGAAGACGATCGTCCCGTACGCTGCTGCAGGTGCCAGGCACCCCTACGAGGCGAAGAAACCGCCCCATTGACTAGACTCAAAAAGAAAGGAACTAGTCGCTTGACTGGGTCCGAACAGGCCATCTCGGATTAGCCTCATGCAGGCGTGGAGCATCTCGGTGTTGACCCAAACAAGACCGTCTTCGCCGAGTGAAGTGTCCAAAAATTTGTCAAAGAAGGGATCGAAGGGATCCATAATTTCCGCTCCCGCTTGGATTAGTGTTGACGGTCGAGCTTTTACAGTAGCAGATTAGCAGTACTCCGAATGAAGGAGGCTTGTGATTGCACGTCGCATTGATGGAGCTCTCGTCCCGTCATTGAACCGCTTCCCGTCCAGTTGAGGCGGGCGAAACCTTCTGAGATGCCAAGTTTAAGTGGTGGAGTCGACCGTCCGACGATACTACTTCTTGCGAAAACCTTGTCGCTAAGAAGACTGCAGCCACTGCGCTGCCCCGGCTACGGCTAGACATGTCCATGGTACTTGAGGTGCTTGGGATATCTTTTCAGACCATAAGACGCCAATGCAATGCCCTGCGGAGTTTCGTGAATGCCCCGATTTCATAGCTTCAACCTGTACCTTGATCTCATTGCAGGGCTCCATCATCTATCGGTTCTCGGGTGATGCCGCCTTAGCGACCGTTGGCATTGAAGACGAGTTAGGCTAGTAGTGTCTCTGATGGAGTTTTTGCTACTATACCTCGAAATGGCGAGAGGCTCTGGATGTACTCCATCCCGTGATGTAAGCAATCGTTCGCTGGAAAACAATCTTGCAATAGATAGAAGTAGGAATTATTCAAAATCATCAATAATGAGACGCCTTGTCCGAAAAGGTCTCTGTTCTCCGATGAGAAATGCAAACTATAAGGCTAAGCCCGAAGACACACATGTGGATACTAGGACCCAAGAGACGTCCACCTGAACCCTCGTTGACGATGATGATGATGATGCAGTCAAGGAATTCCTCGCGTGCCTTGGAAGCCGTGGATCGGCTTTTCGGAATGAAGACCCTGTGACCCACAGTCACTCAGTCTAGAACGGTTCGAGATCCGAAGATCAACAGTCGCAACCGTTCGAAGACCCTCACCACGCGGGTGCAACGCATAACGAATCCAGAGTCTCATTGACTGACGCAACAACCATATTAGCAGGTCACACAGACCTATTTACTTTGATGAACGGCGACTGGGCCCAGATATCTGTCTACACCACGCCCTTGGGAATGCTTGCGCTTGTAGCGTTTGTATGATCATCTTATGACCTTGGAAGAAGGCGGCAACTCCATCTTCCTGGGAGTTAAAGGGCTAGAAAGAAAGATGTTTTGTTCCTCGCGTGCAATTCTTGCAATTTCACTGCGATACTGGTAGCCTGTCTAGACAGTCGCTCTTAGGTAACAGGCATTGCTTGCAGTGGAAGAGATGTCGCTTTGCAGTACAGAGTCGGTCGGCACATCCGATCAGATTCACTGCTTCTCATGACCAACGTCCTCGGTTTCGCTTCCGAGTTCATGTTTCACCAAATCCCTCTCCCCGTCACTGCCCGCCTCGTCGTTCTCATCAACTCCTTCGTCGTCATCGTCTTCGGAATCTTCTTCGCTGCTGGAACCACTGCCATCACTGCCATCATCACTGCCGGGATCATAGTCCTCTTCATCCTCGTCCTCAAGATCCTCCATTTCTTGCTGAGCCTTCTGCAGCTCACTCTCCTCTTCGCCCGCATCTCCAGCACCAGGAGCGCCATCCTCGCCCTTGTTGCCGCCATTGACGTTGTACTTCTTCGCGCGCCGAGCCTCAGCAAGACTGGCATCTTGGAGGCCATGTCGCTTGATGTAGGCATCGATTCCATCGAAATCCGCCTGGTCGATCATGGAGAATTCGAATTCTTGCGTCTCCCCTTCAGCGTCGCCACTACCACCATTGGGGCGCGCGAGTATATTCAAGTTGAATGTTCGTTGAAGAACGGATGTGTAGGAGACGGAATCAATGGTGTCGAAGGAGAAGAATAGGAGCGGCTTCTTGAATGCGAAGAGAATGCCAGTGGAAAGGAGGAACAGGTAGCCTGGACGATTCATGAGCTCAATGGTCGCGGGACACCCGGGAATTGCGACGCTGGCACGAAGATCACAGTATACATACCTTCTTTGCTGCCCCGGAATGCCTTCACATGATAGGCTTTCTCATTTTTGCGGTGTGCTTCGGACATCGCGCTGACAAACTGCCTCTCGTCAGGCCGTACCACACTAGTGGTAGTCAGATTCTGGTTCAGAATCTTCCGAAGCAGAGCTTCGCCAGAATCGCCGGCCTCGTTTCCCACTTGTTGCCCGGATCCATCGAATGCTGCCTTGGCCGGCCCATCAGGGATCATAAAGACCATCGGTTCAAAGGCAGTCATGCCTTCAGGCGGCGGAGTGACGCCATCGGCAAATTCAGGAACGATGCAAAAGTTGAATTGCTTCTGCGTTTTCTCGGGAACAGGGAGACAAAGGGCATGACCTAGATTAGGCGACAGTAAGCATTAGCATTTCATCTGATAAACCCCGCCCATTCGTAGACCAATGCACTCGAGAGACACAAGTCAGATTCATGACACTTACGAATGCGATTCATTGGCACTCCGAATTCAACCTCTTTGGTGGTTTGATTCCTCGCGCGCAGGTAACTGTATCCAGCAGTCACCTCGAGCGTGAGTTTTTTCCGCTGAGGGATAGCGAATGAGACATCCTGCACATAGAATTGAATGGGCACATCATCCTTGACATTGACTGGCGCCTGCGCCAGTTCCTCTGCCAGTCCATTTTGTATTTTCCGTTTCTTCACTACTGGGCCTTCGCTGGGCGGCGGCACTAGCGGAAGCGACGTGGTTTTCACAGTCCTGGCCAGCAGGGCGGATGTATGACGAGCAAGATCCTCGAAGAGAGGTGTATGCTGTGGTGTAGATCCTGCAGATATTGATACAAAGCAAATATTAGGTCTGGACATCTTTCATCAAATGAATGAGATCATCAAGGTCGCCGATAATGAGAATCAGTAGACCAGATGTTTTGCGGACGTACCGATCGCATCATAAACTCGTTTCTTCAAGGAAGGCTCAGTCGCAAAAGCCTCCTCAATCGCGGGGATGTGCATGACCGCTGAATTGATTGCAGCAAAAGCCATGATGGATAGATTTGCCGGTTTGCAACTGCTGAAATGAAAGTGAAGCAGTGCAAAGTGAGCCTCTGTCACGGGAAGAGAGAGGAAATCAAAGATGAGGTAGAGAATAATAATGATGGTATGGCCCCAGCGGCGGAGCCACCCTCCCCTGGCGGCCCGCTTGACTAGAAGTTTGATAGACCCGATATTTCGCCACCGTCGCTCAAACAGACCATTACATCGTTATTGAAATCGAATTAGGCATCTCTTTCAGACAGCTGGAGGGAAGAATGAACCTGGTCGCATTCGCTCCCAAATACCGGACTAGAATACAGTGTTTATACAAATCGCTATCTTGAAACGAGTAAGAAATAATAATCAACAGCCTTGCCCATGCCCTGTCAATGGTATCTAGGCAGTCACTTTGGCCTTGCCTGTCTTCTTGTTGGGCTTGGGGGCCGCGCTCTGGCTCATAAAGCGTTCAATGAAGTTGGCCGTCTCCGAATCCAAGATCATGTTGCCATTCTCATCCGTCCGTGCCTTTCTGGCTTGGATGTTTTGCTCCACCTTCCATTTCTTCAGTTGACCTGCGGGGGTCAAGAGTGCCTGGCTAGCAAGGAACTCTTGGCGGTATTCGTCCAACACCTTCTCTCGCACGTATTCTTCGTCGTGACGTGTTCGGAAGCGAGAGTATTTGTTTCGCAGTTCATCAATGATGGTGGAAGGGAAGGGAGGGTTGTCCAATGAGGGAACCCAGGTGCTTTCTTCGACTTCCATTCGTGTTGTGTCGAAAGCTCCGTCCTCGAATTGGGGCTCCTCCTCAGTAGGCCAGGGAATTTCGATGTTCAGACCTGCAACATATCGGGTGTATCGAGGCATCTTACTCCAGGTCGGTCGCTCGAGGTAGGGCCTTCCAGCATAGGCGTGTTGAACAATGTAATCCTTTGTCGTGTTCCCGTCGGTCATGGCGAAAACCAGTCGAACATCGTCCATTGGCACGGGCATGCTCTGGGCGAGTACGTCGCTCTTGATGCCCATTGAGGCCTTTGCCCATTCGGGCACATTGATGTCGGCCTTGAGTGAGAGAGAGCCCGTTAGTCCGCCGAAGCCGAGCCAAACCCATGAAACTGAGCAACCGCAGGAGCAAAGGACGCATACATACCTCATGAACATTCTTGATCAGTACAGTCTCGCTCTCCTCATTCACTTGAGCAATTTCCTCAATCTTGCCCTTATCACGACCACGAATCACGCACACTCGATCTCCGGGTGCGAACAGGATGTGCTTTCGGCGAAGGTGTCCCGGCACGCGAGGAGGGTGCATGAGCGAGGCGTTGAGGGCTCCATAGGTTGTAGCTGCGAGTCCGCTGTCGCGTTTGGGGGCGAGTTCGCCCTTTTGCCAATCCTCCCAACGAGCCTGCCGGGCCTCCTTCAATGTGGTACTCAAGGCCTGGTTGTATTCCTTTCGCGTCCGCGCGTTGTCCTTCTTGCTGGACACATCCTCTTTTCGCTTGGCCCGGAACATCTTCTTCTGGGCCTGCTTCCTGGCCGAAGCCGCCCTTTGAATAACCTTCTGCATTTTGTGTGGAGGTGGGCCAGCAATGGCTGATACGCTGCTTCTGGTGATTATGTTGCCGTGCGGACGGAAAATTGCGGCCGCAAGTCAAGGCACGTGACCAAACCCGAGACCCCTGCTCGCGGAGGCCAGCGAAGCTGGCTACGGGACCAAAATTCCCGGCGCTTTTGGAGGGGGAGTTGAGCATAACATTTAGCGATTCTACCACCAACGCAAATTTCGATCGTTTTTGAAGGCAAAAAGCGTCTCTGGCAACTTTGATCAATTCTAAAATGGTTCCAGAGATCTAGGTTCCGGCATTTCTGTCTGAGGAGCCATCAAGGGAAAGTTGTTGTCTATATTGCATTCTCACCGACCGCGTGATCCACAGTAAACTGCTCGTCGCCCAGGATCATCAGGTTATCCCAATATTTCTCGTAAAAGTCAACAAGCCCGCGGGATCCCATCAAGGATGTTTCCATGGTGCTTGGGATTATGTCTTGCCCGAAATAGAATGTTGCATCCATCAAGTCAACGTCTAATGGACTTTGTTCGCTGCTTAGACCTGTCGAAGGTGGTTGATAACCCGCCGACATTGGCAGAAAGGGCGCTGAATTGGCTAGGAGGACTTGTCAGCTGAATGCTGAAAAATATATGTAAGCTGGACAACCTCAGGCTAACTGACTGTAAGATTGGGTAGTGTCTGTTCTGTTGATACTGGTTTGGGACCAGGAGGGCTGCTGCGTCTGCTGAGGCGTCGCCCCATGCTGCAGGTGGTGATTCGTCACGGTGAGCATGATTTGGAGAGCATCAGCGGTCTTTGACGCCTCCTTCGACTGATGTCGCAACTGGTCCCAGATACTGTGAGCTCTTTCGATCTCATTGGACAGATCCTTCCTTTGATCCAAGATTGCCTGACGTTGCTCAGGAGATAAATGCTGTTTAAGATCAAACCGTGACTGGCAAGAGATTTCCAAACAAAGGAGCATGGCAGCTGAGCGAAAATGAACTGCGACTATCGGGGTGAAGAAAAACGAGGCGAAACTCAATTGGCCGCCTGCGCTACCTGCTTCGAAGATGTCTGACTGATGTTGAAGGACTGCCTTTGCGGCAGCAATGCAAACTTTGCGCGAATATTCGTAGGCGGGATCGAGACGGTGTTGAACCAGGTATCGGCGATGCAGGTCACACAAGCTCTTCTGATATATCAGATCGATGTTGTAGCGTTCTGTGATTGTACTCGGACTGTCTGCAATTGCTTCACCCAAAGACCTTATCCTCAACTGGGGAGGAATTGAAGCAGAGATTGCTTGGAGGTGACCATCCATGCGGAGAACTTCATCATAAGGTAAACCTTTGCCAGAGCAATTCTTGCCGATAATCTCCGCATCCGCAACCAAGACTCTTTTGAGGATGATGGGAAACAGAACTGCAGTCTTTTCACTCAGAGGTCTCGATGGTGGCAACACAGTAGCGGTTGGAATCAAGTCATCATCGGTCAAATTTCGAGGTTCCTCGATGTCACATTGATCTCGAATTATTGTTGGGGGTAGGCCCGCCTGGATTGAGACATAATAGTCCAGCAAAGAGAGGTAAGTCCAGACCCGCCGACGCATCTCTCCGTCGAATACTGAAATATTCGCGTAGTACTTTGGATCCCTGTGATACCCAGCCTGAATGGCCAACCGAGTTGCGAGACTTATGAGGACAGACGGGCTGCGGTGGTTTTCTGGACTTCGCAAAATCTCCATCGCTACATTGAGAGTCAGGGTCTCAATCGTGTATCGACCTGGTGAGGTGTAGCCGGACATTTGGAGGCACTGGGATGAGATTTTGTGATATTCTGCAAATGTCTCCGCCAGGTCACCGTTGGATCGACCGGTAGTTGAAAAAAGCTGTAGTCCCGCTCCTGCGGAGAGAATACAAAACAGGTACGCCAACCAGCCAAAAGATTTCTCCTCTGGAGAATGCCAAAACTGAGCATACTTAATAGAGTAAAGACATTCAGCTTGTTGAATGGCAACCGATGGTTAATCTTCACTTACCTCTCTAGTGAAAGTTGGTATGTGCATAAGAACTTTCTGATCAGCTGCAAATCATCTGAAAGCAGGACACTGCGAAGGAGCCTTACTCAGGGTCGATTCTCTCGAATTCAGGTATAGAGACACTAAACGGTCTGCGGACTGCCGGGAAGGCAGAGCAGCAATCAGATCTGACTTGGTGTCAGGGAACGCGTGGCCAAGAAGCAGCTGCGGGCCCGAGTTCGGAAATATGAGTGAATCATCAAGCGGCTCATCGGTGCTGGTATCGGCATCCTCTGTTGCCTGAAGATACTCTTTGACTTCGGCAATCTCCAAGTTCCAGTCAGTATGGCCATTTATTTATCTTGCAAGGGAGGCTCCTTGGATTGGGCGGATCAAGTACCTCATTCAGAATAGATTGCCAATGTGTAGAGTCTGCATATTGCGTTCCATTCTGGTCCACTGTTATGTTTCCTGTCAGTGTAGCGGCGCGTTCTGGCTGTACTGGTTTTGTGTCTAGACTAGCTGCCCCATTTCCAGTGATAATGGCAGAGCCTGACGGGTGTAGAGAGGCATTGATCGCATAGAGTGCTTCAACGCGACTCTGTATTGCGCGAAGCTGGTCTCGAAGTCCATGTGACTGATTTCGTGTCAAGGTATGTGGACCTGAATAAAGGCAATCGTACGCTCTGTGATGCTTGATACAGTTGTCGCATGGTTGTTGACGGTTGCATTTGAGTCTAAATCATGGTGTCAGTGATCAAGTTTCGAAGCTACTTATTCGTCAATTGGCAGTAGAAATGGCGCCCTAGCTATGAGTCCCTCCCAGCTTAGATGAGGAGGGGATCGCAATAGCCAGAATGACATGAAGTGCGCCGTAGCCAGAATGACGTGAAGAATAACAACCTGCTGGCTACTGCAATACTTGAGTCATGTCCAAGTGCGATGATAAGCATGGTCGCGTCAAGTGGGGTACAGACTTCTTCTGCCGGCAGCGAACACAAGATAATTTCGCTCGAGGCTTTCGCTTTTTAGCCGAATGCGCGGTTGAGCTTTGATTCACCTCGTTCTCTGTATACTCCATCTCGACCGGACAAAATCTCTGGGCCGCTGCACATCCCCGGGTGAGAGAGTCTCAGTCCAGTAGTACGTTGAGGGGCCACGCAGTACGAATGTCCTTCCTTGTGCCAAGTTCAACCTGCCGCCTGCTCTAGCCCCCTTGGGTTAGCTTCCAGCTTGCTTGTATGTGCAACGACTCGAGCCTCATCCGCAGGCTCCATTGAACAGGGGCGATGCTGACCCGGCCGCTGCTTAAACATACAACGTTGTGCAGCAGCTACTGCTGGAGATCAAGACTACGGTACCACTTATTTTGTTTTATGAGTATTATTCTAACGTTGTACACAGGAGGAATGGTTATTGCTCAGTCATTTTGGCTGTCAAGTATGTGCGCTAGGGAGAGATAGTGGTAATGTGGTACAGTACTTAGTTCGACACGACAAGATCACGAGCGGCACATGTACCCGCTCCACCCCAAGATACCCGTGGGAGGGGAGCCGGACATTCTGATTAGCGCCGGAGATATTTACGCTAGTCTCGGATTTGACCCCGACGGAAAGTCTTCGAGTTCATGGATCACAGACAATGGTCAAACACCATTGGATTGTTGATGGCCGTGATTCTCTAATGCCGATCGCCGAGATCTTTTGTTCTTAGGGCCCTCAGTCACATCCGAGTATATAGACGGACGCCCGCGTTGAATCTAATCACTTCAATCTTTCTTATCCAGACTTGCGCGGGAAACTTGTGTCAGCAGCAAAGAGGACGAAGCTGAAGCGCGAAGCCTTCATTCGAATACACCCCACCGTCTTGTCATCCGTCATATATCTCTCACTACTCGACCACATGGACTCACATGTTCAGCCCCAAGATCCTCCTTCAGGGCAGATTGCTGCGAAGGACAGTATCAGTCAGCAAATCTGCCATCCAAAAATCAGATCAGATACCATGACCACACCGTCTCACACTCCAGCTTTCGTGTCACGGCAGGCTTGTAATTCCGTTCAACCCAGCACAGCTGATGACATGCTGTCTACACGTTTTGATAGAACGAGCGACAACAATACAGAAGCTTCATCCATGATGTGTCCAGGTCTGGATCTTTCATCGGACACACTGCTTATGGACTCGGCATGGCTAGAAAGTATCGCATTCAGCCTCGAGCAGTTCCCACCCGACGGTCATTTCCTTGGCACAAGCCTGCTACCGAATGGATTCATGCCAGAGACCGGCTCCGAGTATTCCCAAGGCGACTTTTCTGTATATGGCGCCGCCTCTGCCATCAGCGGTGCATACTCGCCAATCAGCCACGGATCGATGTCATCCTTTGACGCTTCGGCCTTTTCTCAGTCAACGAGACCGGGTTCGAATTCCCTGGGCTACCAGACAAAGGTCCCCTCTTTCGATTACAGTGGACCAGGGCTAGCTTCGCGCGATGATCCTCAAGATTTGACACGCCAGACACAAGCCCAGCATTCGAGACTAGTCAGAAGTGACTCGCCTTCTTCGCAAGACTCCGATGAGGGTCGTCTCCAGGAGAAGCGGCGGCGAAACAAAATTGCTGCTCGCAAACTTCGACAGAAGAGGGCAGATCAAGTCAGCGACCTCGAGTCAAAACTGGAAGAGATGCGAAAGGAAAGAGATGATTTAAGAGTCAAAGCTGCCAAGTGGGAAGGAGAAGTAATGATATTGAGGGAACTCCTTGGGAGAGGCAAAGGCACATGAGGCTCAAGGGAAGTAACACAATTGAATAATGTATAGTCTACTTTGCCGTTCTTCACGGAAGTTTCACCGGGAATGTACAATCGGTTGAAGTGTCTCTCAAGTACACATGCCTCTCTGTATGTCTCCGTCCATGATCTTAATGCAGGGCTGCTATTTCAGAAGCTCCATTGCTTTCAAGAGATCGGACAGTATTCCCATTGCTGTAATTTCACCACCACCCCCCCACCCTGCAAGATTAAGGGATGGGCACCGTACCGCTTGGTATAGATGTTCACGATCTGGCTACCTCTGAGATTCGCAATCGCACTGCCAGCTTCGACGAATTGAAGACCCACTTTGATAGCACCGCTGAGTACATCAATACTTCCGGTATAGCGCAAGATTTTGCCTTGCTTTTTAGCCTCTCTTTTAGCCTCCTCCATCACACCATCATATCGAGGTAGCTCCTCCATGAACCTGGCAATCCCAGCCGATGAAGAAGGCAGTCGCGAGAGCTCATCAGGCACAAGAGACTCCACTGGGAAAGAATCATGTCGGCTGACATTCATTCCAATGACCCGAGCGATGATGGTAAGCTTTCGTGCAAAATCAAGACCATTGAGATCATCACGTGGGTCTGGCTCCGTATGTCCGATCTCCTTGGCGTGCGAAACTAAGGAGCTCCAAGACGCTTCTGATGTGCCATTCCCCGGCATGAAGTCACCGAGCAGGAGAGACAAAGTCCCCGATAGAACGCCTTCGACGCGGGTGATCTGATCACCCGTTGCCACAAGATCCCTGAGCGTCGACAGCACCGGGAGCGTTCCGCCTACTGTACACTGGTGGTAGACAGCTGCATTCCCCTGTGCAGCAGAGCTGAAGATCTGATTGAAAAGAGCCATATCTTCTGAGAATCCTTTCTTGTTTGGAGTTACTATCGAGACACCCCGCTCCAGAAACAGTGGATATGCTCGAGCCAGCGTGAGATCCGATGTGTTGTCGACAAGAATCGCCTTCCCTGGCGCAGATGACAAGAAGGCGGCTATCTCAGCTGGTGGTAGTGCATTCGAATGAACCAACTGTGGCAGCTTGACGGCTTCATCCCAAACTGCGAATGGTACACATGGGGAGAATTCTGGTGCTGGGGCGGAAACGGTCTTGGAGGAACGGGCGAGCAGAATCAGTTTCGGTGGGTATGGTAATCTTTCAAGCTGCTCAAGAAAAGCGTTCCCGACAACACCGACTCCTATGGTATATATTGAGCGACATTTTCCAAGCAAGAGAGGGCGAAAGAGGAAGCATAGATGGTCTTTCGCGTACCTATGATCCCAAGAAATACCTGACTCCCTGCTGCCTTTGTCGATTCCATCGTGACGCGACCACGGATCAACAGCGAAGTGGGATAGTCTCAAATGATTGGCAACGCCTTGACCCGATCTCAAATCGAACAGTGACAGGGACACCTCAAACGCTTGGCAAACCCTCTCGATGCACAGCTGCACAGAAGCATGTATAAGTGCCCAAGACTCGATGGTGGACCGCTGAATCACTTAGGCCTCCACCTTGGCTGAAACAACTCTGCCGTTGACAAGGAGAAGCCTCGACATACGCGCCCAGCTCAGCCCTACCCCAACAGATAGCGTAGCATGCGAGACGAAGTGCCACGCCTCAAAAGTTGGCAGGACTCAGGCATCAACCTAACCCAAAGTGGATTAGCCCTCATGAGCCTCGAGGCTCTTTCTCTGCCGTTTCCTATGGGGATCTACCTTTTTTGCTATATTGAAGGTGAGAATACATGGCCTCAACGACCCTTGTAGGTTGGCTTGCAAGTCCAGCTAAGATTTTGTCCTGGGAGTAGTTGCTGTAGTCTGTGTCGAGTGGGAAGTCTCAAGTTTTCAATCATTCCAGTCTTTGACTTCATTGTCAGGGGAAGATCAACAAAACATGGAACGCTACAGAAGTCAAACTTGAGCTGCCTACAGGATATGGCTGAGTTTTAGTCGAGAAAGAAACAAACAGCTGGTGGAAGAGAGGCTCAAAGTCCGTATGCTCATTGGACTAGGGCTGTCGAACAGGGACCTATTACCTTGGCAATTCAAGCTGGTCTTACTCCTCTTAGAGAAGATCATTCTCTTAATACCTATCTCTTTGGAGCTTTCGGACAACAACTTAAAAAGCTACGTCTAGTGGTGTCTCGTGCCCGACATCTCTACTATGTGCGATTCCATGTGAAGTGTGCACTAGTAACTAGGTACAAACTGGTAGGTATTAGGTGGTGACTCACCTTCAAAATTGGTGCAGGTGGATTCCGCTATCTCAGTCCAAATCGTATGATCTTCACTCTATTCGTGCATTTGCGACAAACCCTATCATTATGACTCGAACATAATGCGACCATACAGAATAGGGTGCGGAAATATGCAATAAGTGTCCTTGAAATATCCCCTGACTTTCCACAATCTAAGGTTGAACGACCTCGCCTCTCTGAGCCATTTCATCAGCGAGCGGGCAGTGGAGCTGGAGGTCCAGAAGGGGAATACGCAACGTAGCCCTCTCGTTAAGCTCGAGAAGCTAGAGCAGTAGGACCAAAGTTCTCCAGCGAGCCGAGTTTTCCTGAAGACAAACCTTGGACGTATACCCTTTATTTTTGGATCCTCCCAATTTCATGATGGGAGCAGGCAGAAGAAATGTATACTGTTCAGCTTCTGAGTGTACACGTTATAAGTGGATCTAGAAATCAAGATATTGGTCTGCTAGCACAAAGTATTGGACGAAAGAAAGATTGAAAGGAACTAGGTGGAGACGTGCCATTCTAGAATTGCAATAGTACGGCACGTCCATTCCGGGGTGGAGCTTTGAGGCGCTCAGGCTGACCCCTTTCTGAGGTCGTCGGGAGACGGATAGTCAAAATATCGTGAACAACGTTCTGGAACTACTTGAAAAGTTGGAACTAACAGTATCATTGTCGAATTTCAAAGGAGGTCTAGCCTAATATGAAACATACCGTGATTAGCATCACATCTTTGCGTCATGAAGTCTCCCTTAAGGCATATATACAAACCCTCTTTTACTGGTTCATTATGTAGGTAGTTAGGTACACATTATTCATTATATCCATATCGATGCGGTGAGAGTTGCGAAAATGCTGTCGTGAGGGTACACGCACCTTATCTTCGATCGGCAGACACCTGACTGTCTCTCAAATTTAGGTTGCTGCTTTACACCGTGCTCCCTACGGCAGTACTTCGATGATTGAAAAATGTGAGAGTCTGCGAGTTGGCTGATGGAATCAGTTTTACGGAAAACGAGCCAGTTCAAGTTAAGGATATCTTCCAGCGAGCATCATACATCTATAGAGTCGGCCATGGGGTCTCACCTAGCTCTACCGCTCTTCTTCTAAGTGACTGTCATTACAATGATGCCGGGTCTCATCAATGTACGCCTGAACGTTCATATTGTACCTGGGTGGAAGGTCAATAGAATATAGGTACTACTGTGATGGTGTATTTTAATATGTAGTTATGCACTATGTAGTATGTGCTAAGTAATGTAGGTCCCAAAGGGTGCCTCGAGCGCTGGGCACCGGCCTGTTCACAAAATTGAAAGGGTCACACTCTCCGTCTCATGATTGTCTCATGTGGCAGATCACAGTGGGTAAGACGTGAGATTGGCTTGCATGTCATGATATCGCGACATGGCCTGGTAGCCTGAGAATTATAAGACATTTTGAGTAGCAGGCTCGATGTGGCTTTTGCGAATGGGCTCGAGCTCACAAGTTGCTGTTGTTACAACACTTCGGTTGACCTGTTGGTTAAGAGACCTCATTAAAAGAGACAGTTGAAAATGTACCTGAGTCAGAGAGATGGTCCATCACTCGAGGTCACAGTTAATGCCAAGGTCTTGTATTTAGAGCGCTCGCTTTATCTCCAGAGCCCGACACTAACAGTAAATATGAAGTATGTACTCAGGGTCTTTCGGTGCTCAAGCTCGTCCTTCAAATTGATAGTCTTCTTACGAACTACCGTGGCTATGATAATAAGACTTTGCTAATGCGAATCGATGTGGACCCAGGTGCACTGCCAGTGACGACTCCTCCAGAATACAGGCTTGCTCAGCCACAAGAACCGTACTGTATTGTACTGTATTTTATAACAGCTATGTACTCTGTAAGTATGAGACTACTATACCTACATATAAGTACTTTCAGTTTCCAGTGTAACCACTAGCCGTATCCACCGATGCTATTTCCCATCTCAGAATAAGACTTACACTCTTTACCTGGATAACGAAATCGAGGACTAGAGCGCGGCCTACTCAGTGCGCTGGGCAATCTCCGCCAGACTTTCACAGCTGCATGTGCTTCATAAATAGCGAATCAAACCCGCAGAGGCCAGCGACTGGTTGTATGGTTGTATGACCAAGCATTCAAGCAATCTCCTCATTTCGTGCCAGGAGGTACCGTATCCGTGATTAGCTCAACGGTATGTAATAAAATGACCATACACTGTGAATGAACTGAGGCGTGGCGCATGCTGGAAGTTACGCATCAACAATCGACAGTAATACGTCAGATCAAGAATCGCTGACGGGCAACTTGCGAGAACCGCAATACCAAAACAAATAGTTCGATCGAGGACAAGGAGGCCTCCTACCTACCCGTGTCACCTCACTTCAGCATGACCACAGTTGGCCGGCCATCCCCGCCTACGTATCAATCATGGTATGAGTGCAATAATTGTAGATATACTGTGTAAGTGTACGTATATTTAGTCAGAAGGAAAAATTGGTAGCGTAATTTGAAAGTACAAATACCTTCTCCTCTGTCTTCTATCCTGTCAGGCTGTCACCCATGTTTCATCAATACAGCCCGCACTTTGAACGTCCTTCCTTAGGCTCCCGGCAGCGGAAAGTACCATCGATTACCACGAAGTACCGCCCTTACTGCCACCGCCCAGATCGTCTGGCCTCTGTCTCTCCTCTGCCTCCTCCAGACCATCAGAGATTCTCTTTCATTCTCCATCAAAAGACCCCAGCTTCCACTCTTCATACTTCTAGCTGTTGCATTTTTGCACTAGCTGACCTTGCTTCTGTTACTTGCTTCTTGAACGCACGCACGCCGCCGCGCCCCTTCCCATCATAGTACGCCAGACCCTTTCTCCCTCCCCTCTCTCACTCCCCCCAGCAACCTGAACTTGACCCTTTCTCCAAACCTCCTGACAAAACGTCCGGTCCTCCATTGCAACCCCCTCCCCGCGCTCCTATCCAGTCCTTGCGTGCTGGTCTGCCCTTCACAATATTACCCCATCTCAGCTCACTCCACTACTCGTTTTTGGAACCTACTTTCATATCTCGGCTAACCTCTCTTTGCCTCGTGTCCAGATGGCTGAGATTCGTCGCAAGCTCGTCATCGTTGGCGATGGTGCTTGCGGTAAGACCTGTCTGCTGATGTAGGTTCTCCCACATGGAGACAAGCAATTTGACTTCCATGCCCTTTTGAGCTCCTTACGAACGAATTTCTGACCAACCTCCAGTGTCTTCTCCAAGGGTACTTTCCCTGAGGTGAGCCCTCCTCCTAGGCTTCGATTTCCTCGGACCAGAATATCGTCCTGCATCCTCCTATCGCTCGTCTACAACCTTTGTTGTCGTGGCAAGGGGCCAATGAGCCTCTGTCTAAGTGAATGACGAGCATGCTTGTGTTCACCCGGCATCCGCTGATGCTGACTGTCGTCGCCTTAGGTCTATGTTCCCACTGTTTTCGAGAACTACGTCGCCGATGTCGAGGTTGATGGCAAGCACGTTGAACTCGCTCTCTGGGATACGGCCGGTCAAGAAGATTATGACCGTCTCCGTCCCTTGTCATACCCCGACTCGCATGTCATCCTGATCTGCTTCGCTGTCGACTCGCCCGATTCCCTCGATAACGTTCAGGAGAAGGTTAGTTTGCATCCTCTATTTGCCGTTTTGAAGTGGCCTTTCTTCGAAGGCTTTGCTTGTCTACGGTGACGAAAGACTCACTCAAGATTACAGTGGATTTCCGAGGTCCTCCACTTCTGCCAAGGTCTCCCCATCATCCTGGTCGGCTGCAAAAAGGATTTGCGCCATGACCCGAAGACCATTGAGGAGCTCCACAAGACTTCTCAGAGCCCCGTCACCGCCGAACAGGTATGTCATTGCCAACTTTCTTGTCCAAATACCATGTTTGTCTGGATTAAGAGTGTATGAGTCTGACCCTTCGATGTACAGGGTGAGGAGGTCCGCAAGAAGATCGGTGCTTACAAGTACCTTGAATGCTCCGCCCGTACCAACGAGGGTGTTCGTGAGGTCTTTGAGGCCGCTACCCGTGCCGCTCTACTCAAGGTCGGTAAGACCAAGACCAAGAAGAGCAAAGGTTGCTCGATTCTGTAAACCATCCCTGCCGCTTTCGATGCTCTGGGGCTTGAATGAAACAAATCAACTCAGAGTTTGGGTTTCGAGGTCAACCTGAATGGTCCCATATCATCTTCCTCTGAAGATTGAGCAGGGAGGTTCGGGGGATCGCATGGCTTCTGCAATCCGTATGTGACCATAGTGGATAGCGTCGACTCCGGGCCGAAGGGGCCATGGAACTCTCTGTGTTGTTGGTTTCCCTGCTTTTTGTGTCTTCTCCAAACTCGCAATTCCCATCCCTGCAGAACGTTCCGTCGTTGGTCGCAGACTTGTTGTGTTACCTCTTTTTTCTGCCTTTGATTTTACAGAATTTGTCTGGGGAGGCGTTGTCTCTATCATAACCCTTTGGGCTTTTTTCCCCTTTTCCCGTTGTCCTATCATATCCTTGCCCGTCCCGCAGTCTATTTACCCTCTATTTTCCTATTAGTCCGTCTTCGAGAATTTCGGATCGCAATGATATCGTGCCCAATCCGACGCTTGTGGCAGTATAAATTTTGATTTCGGCTTTTCGGTACAAAAAAGCGCTGGATTTGTAGCATAATGCACAGTAGACGTGGGCAGTCCTAAAGTTGGAACACTCTGGCTGCCGAGTGTGTACGAGCAACAGATGTTCGGTGGTCTTCTGGACGTATTCTCTCCTTTGCTTCATCCATACCTACATGACAGGAGTAAGCCGGAACGTCCTTGTGTAACCAGGCCTCGTGAGGCTGTCGAGCTTCGACTGCATGTAATTTGAAGCCGTCCAAACTCCAAAGGTTTAAGATGGTCACCTGATTTTGGGACAGTGGCAGCTATCGATGGCAGTACACCTCCGTGCCGGGGCTCACATGGGGGGAAATTGTGTCGCATTGAATCTTTACATACTAAAGCATCAAGAATGAGTGACGGCCCCGTGCCACTCGAGCTGGTATTATAGCTGGTCATTGATGTTTCGTTTGATCTGTGTATTACGTACCCTGAAAGGAGGGATGACTGTACATGTACTGTGCCAAGGTAGACGGAAACCTCAACACGATGTTCCCTCTCAAGAGGACTACGGTATTCATCGATTCAAGGACATCAAGCCTTCGATGTAACGGCGTGCATCCATGCCCAACCCCTCTACCAAATTCGAAGGCTTGCTCTCAGCTCTCGACGCTGTCAATTTGGACGACGAGACGCCACCGAGGTCTCGGAAGAATCTTGCACCGCTGCTCATTCGCGCATGGCCTGGCGACGACACATGATCACTTGCTTTGCGGATGACGAAAGCCTCATGAGGCTCTGGATGACTTTCAGAATACGCTGATGTCAAGTGTGGAAGGGGAGAGTCGTTGGTTGGGTCCGGTGGCGTGGTGGATGAGGATGCGGTTGAAATTTGGTTCGACCGGTCAAAATCATTCTTTCTGTGAGGCATACGCATCCAGACAATCCACCATCCTCGGTTCACTTTGTAAGTCCGCTCAAGCTCCTGTGACCTGGAGCGTGTCTCAATGTACGTGGTGAGAAGTCGCTCATGAATCGCCAAGCTTTCGAGGCGAGATAGGGACGGTAGGGTAGGTACTCTGGAAGGCGATGCTGACGGAGACGAAGATGGAGACCTCAGCGCCGCAGAAGTCTGTGGTAAAGCCTCCAGGTCGCCAGAATCAGGGATATTGGGAATCGAGGAGCGGATCGTAAGATTTGATGAGTCGTATATGATCTCGCAGACAGGTTGGTCAGGTGCCGATGACTCATTAGACGGCCTGGCACCAGTCTCGAGGGAAGAGAAGCGCGAGGCAGCGCTTGCAGGCGATGTCGATGAATTGAGAGATTTCTGGAGAGGGCCCAGTTGATGATGAATGCTGGAATAGAGTGAAGGTGACATTAAAGCCGGCGTGTCCGGTTCAAAGAAGAAAGTAAACATGAATGGTTGATGCTGGGAAGTGTTAGTGAACGAAACAATCCTAGCCAAAATCGTAATAGACAGACGAACCACGTATATCACCGCTTGCAGCGTCTTCGATACTCCGTCACTTAGATGCCCCAAGCGGATATGCACCGATCGATGGATAATTCGACTAGTAGACTTTTGACGCTCTGCGGCAGGCTCAGGGCTCCCTTCATCAATACCATCCAGGTCATCCAGATCATCGCGAGGCCCGAGTACAAAACGACCCCAGGTCGTGGGCTTTGTCTTACTTGAAATCTGTTCGGACGGTGGCGTTTGTGAGCCTTGCAAGGAACTAGCATTACCCTGCGACTCATTCTGCCTGGTCTTGCCATTGGCAGTCTCATTGGGATTTGAGAAAGATGTGTCCGGAAAGTGCGGGCCAGCCGATGATAGATTGTCAGGTTTCTTGGAAAAGCTCCACGCGGATCCATACCCTAATGTGAGGTACTTAATGACCGTGTCTGTTGCAGATGTTTGCTCCGCAGTTTCCTGGTCGTCACAGGTCAAGGTGGTCTTCGCTCTCTCGGAGTCATTGCCCTTGTCAATTTCTGGAATGGGCTGCGGTAAGGCCATGATGAGGGGTGGCGGTATGCCGGGCGACCCTGTTCTTTCTGGCGTTACATGCTGCTTCGAGGGGCGTGCCTTGTTTTTCCGTGGGCGCCTTTGGCGTGTTGATGCAGGATCTCGCCCTATCCCGTATGCCGTGTCGCCATATCGGTAGACCCATTCCATCCAGTGAGAAACTCGAGCAAGTGAATGACGGTCTATAGCGCCGATACCAGAGAAGATGACACCGTCTGAAGGTCTCGGAGCTTTATCTGAGCCGAGCCAGGTATCACCAGTAGTATTGTGAGCGATCAGCCGCGGTTCATCAGTATGGTGAGGTGGATCTCCAAATCTTGAGACCAGCACATCCACCAGTCCCTCTGTCCTGCTCACAAAGTCTTCGAGTACTTCTCTCTCTCCGCTGCCCCATTCTTCCTCACCGACTCCTATACCTAGCTCGCCACCGGCAGCGAGTTTGATGCCATTGTACATGTCAACTATTGGGTTTCCTGCCAGCAAGAGCTCCCAGTTCCATGTGAACTTCTGCCAGAATTGTTCTAAGAAGAGCTTGAAGCTGGACTTCTCGAGGCGATTGTAGAGCTCGGCCATTGAGAAATCATGCAGCAACAAGAAAATAGAATGTGCGCGACGGAGCTGTTGAATGAGAAATTGGGGAGGCCCCATTTCTTTGGCTGAATATTGAAACGAAGGAACGTCGGCATCGGAGCTAGACGAAGCTTGGTTTGGACGGGCCGGTAACCGAGTGAGGCATATTGACTGCGGCACGGTGAGTGACAATCAGAATGAGCTTGGAGCGTACAGTGAAACTGACAGCGACGATCCACCAGTCCTTCTCCAGTTCTAAGACGATAGTACGCGCCCTGTCGGTCTCGATGCATTCTAAGGGTTTGCCAGATGAAAAGTTACTGGAAGAATGAGTATGAGCGCAGGTCGCCAGCAGCGGGGAGGAACATTTTCATACTTGGCAAAGCTCACCATCCCCTGCGCCAGACCGATCTGGCGTAGCATTTCATTTTTATCATTCTCAGGCAAGTGACTATCTTGTCTTTCAACGGTTACATCGTGGGAATGTCGGTAGTCACTCGATACCGAGGTGTAGAACACAATCTGCTCCTCCAATGTCTCGTCGGTGGTGCCCAAGGTAGGATTGTATATAGCCAGGTAAGATAGATGCGCGGGCACCACGGCTCCTTCATCTGCTCTTGGCATCGCCTCACGAGCGACCACCATACTCTTTCGTCGATCGCGAGCGGCCGTGGGGTACGAGGTGACTGGGATGGGAGCAATAGCTCGATATCGTTGACGTCACGTGCAGCCCACCCTATCGATCAAAGGGGTGGGTCGTGTGCTGATATCAGATCAGCCAGCCGTGACGGGCGGAAGCGGTCTCCTTCTCAGCGGATCTGATAGCCACTGACAGACCTGAATTGCTCGAGAATGCGCATCGTTAGCCGGAGTCAGAGCTTGGGGCTCTGTAGGACCTTCTCAGGAAGTCGATGGTTGAATAGCCGGTGCTATGCGACGCGCTCGTTCGACCCGCTCCGTATCCTTTTTTGCGGCTCCGACGATTTCAGTATTGCTTCCCTCAAAGCGCTTCATGAGTACAAACTGAAATATCCTACGCAAATATCGTCCATAGATGTTGTCTGTCGGCCGGGAAAGCGAGTGGGAAGGGGGCTGAAGAAGATTCGCGAAAGTCCGTCCTGTGGCACCTTTTGTACAAATGCAGACACCCAGCACTAATGACAGCCTGCTACAGTGCCGATCAAGGAGGCCGCTTCTGCGCTTTCCCTTCCAATCCATGAGATTGACACATTCAGAGGGTGGACGGTAAATACGACGATTCACGTTCAAGGGGTCCTGCTGCTGACCCGTTGACCAGCCTCCAGAGACACCGTACGGCCCGATCAATCTCATCATTGCGGTGTCATTTGGACTTTTTGTCCCTCCGCGACTCCTCAATGCCTCCAAATACGGAGGCTTGAACGTGCATCCATCATTGCTTCCGGAGTAAGCATGCCCGACTTTTGGAGTTCAAAGCGAAAATACTGACAACCACTTAACAGCTTCCGTGGTCCCGCACCCATACATCACACACTCTTGGCCGGAAGAACCAAGACCGGTGTAACACTTCAGACGCTAGATCATAAAAGCTTTGATCACGGCACAATTCTAGCTCAAACACCGGACCCTGGCTTTGATATACCCAATTCTGACACTTGTACTGTGCCTGAGTTGACGAGCTTAGTCTCAGCCAAAGGTGCACAGCTGCTCTTCGACGGTATACAGCAAGGTCTCTTCGTGCCTCCAGTTAAGGATGCTGGATGGGCCAAGGAAAGTGAGACCCGGAGTTTTATCCATGCAGCCAAGATTCAGCCCGAAGATCGCCATATCAATTGGGAGGGCTGGACGTCCGTTGATCTTAACCGACGCAATCGCGTTCTCGGGAATCTATGGAGTAGGGCATTAGTGGCGAGCAAGTCCGCAGAGGAGCCTGTTGTATACCAGCAGAAGCGAGTCATCCTGACCGATGTTGAGCAAGTCGAACCTCCGAAAGGCTCAGAGATCTTCGCCATCGTACCGGGGCTGCCGTTTGCCAATGCCACGTGCCCTGTTGAACCCAGAAAAAGCAGGTCCCTCTTTGTGTTCACTAAAGACGGCAAAGCGCTTTTGATCAAAAGTCTGAAGGTAGAAGGGGAACCTGTTGCAGAAGGCCTTCGTGCCGCGGTCAAGGCTCGCATGTTCGGGAACCGCTCGATTACGTCTGAAGGGTTCGAGTTCACCCCGTTTCGCAACCCCTTGGTATGAGAGGGCAACTGGCACAGTTGAACATCATGGCCATTGGCTATGGAATCTCGACCTGCTCAAGTCCATAGCCCCGGACCGGCTAGGCCTGGTCGTACCGGAGGCAGCACGTTGTTCTCAACGCCGCTTGTCGAATGCATACCGTTCATCATTCTCGTGATGCACAATCTAGATACCCGTCAACAAGATTGGGAATGACCTCATTGAACTTTTCGGTGCATCCACATCTGCGAAGAAAACTTCCACCTTTCCCGTTGAGCTGTTCAAGGCTTACGTTGTAAGGCTATGATTACGCATTCTTCACTTCTAGGCAGGAATGACAGGACCTGGACCGCCGGATATTAGACTCGAAGCCCTCAACTTCGCGAACGGGTCCGCCATTAGAGAAACCACTCGAAATTTTGATATCCATGACCATACTACTAGGAAGCGTAATCAAGCGTGTCAAATGACGACCCAGCCGCAAAAGATGGTGGGCCTCATACCCCACCACGCCCTCAGTCCGGCCAAAGGAGCCCATTGAACCAAAAACCTATCGGCAACTGGAAGCAATATGCGTCCAGACATGCTCAGTCTTCTCACGCGAGCCCAGGACTCAATGTAGACTGTGCGAAGTTTGAGAATCTCGCTGTCAGGATCCTGCGTTCGAGTCCACTTGAAACAAAAAATGAGGAACCGGAGACTTTTTGCTGCAAGCATCATACAAACGGCCACTGCTGGACCGTTTGCAAGGATGATATCTGGGAGCGAGGATTTGTACTCTGCAGGCAATGGATGCTGTTCCGGGTGACGCCCAAGAAGCACCAACAGGCAAGCCCAAAAGCATTGAAGCGTCGAGAATGGTGCGGTCAGATACGATTGGTGTACTCGCCTCGCACGTGGAATTGTGACAACGGTGTAATCGTGGTTTTCCTTCGGCGAGCTGTTCTTTCCAGCCATGAAAGCCTCGAAGTCTACCGCCTTTTGTGCACTGAGCGCATCCCCAGAGCTCACTACGTAGGTGCGGTAAGTGTAGACCGAGAAGTTGAAGTGCCTCTCGAGAATGGCTATCATTTCGGCAGTGTGTCCACCACTGCCAAGCACAACAAGGAGATGTACTGGGGAGCCCCTTCTGCGAGCCTTGGGTAGCTCCGAGGTCTGAGAGATCATCAAAGAAACGATGACGAGCTTCAGTGATAATCGTCAGTCCTTGTTAGGTTGTATATCAATCTCCTACGCTAGTACGCTTCGTTGGGACTCACAGTGAAGAAGAGACAGCCAACCGCAGCTCCATAGCAAAAGGTAGTCACCAAGAGGGCCCCAATGGCCTCTAGCGTGAGAGGCATGACGTCATCCGAGGTAGGATCTCTGGTAAAAGAATATTCGCAGGAAACAGATGTGGCTCTGGCTGCCGTTATTACTTGATCAATGAATATGTAAGGCCAAATAAGGGGCAGTCAGTGTTGGCATGGGGGGTCGATAAGCTTTTGATGGTTTGATTCGCTTTGGGTAAAATTGAAGCTGTCGCGTCCGCGCGACACGTGCCGATAGAGGTCCGTGCGCCCCTGCGGCCTGCGGAATTCTTGTGTTGCACTTCAGGCCGAAGCTTGTTGTTTTTATCCCCTTGCGACCGAACACAAACTTCGCATCTACCACTCGGGGCTTCGAGGTCCAGGACATTGGACATGTCATGGCGCTATTTTCGAAACGTTTGACCTGTTTTTATTGCGGTCGACGGGCTGCCCAACCCTTTGATGGGTCTATCCGCAAATTCCGTTGCCGTCATTGCGAGGCTGATAATTATCTGGACCAGGTACGTTCGGAAAGAGCGAAGCACGCATTCCGTACCAGGGTCTAACCATTTTCATATTGTGCTTCAGAATGGAGATATAACAGACCCTCCAGCGGAAGATATCAACCGCTTCAGCAGCGATGGATCCATCTCTAGTCCTCATGTGGAATCGACCGAGTTCGCCGGATCGAACACTTTCTGTTCCAAGTGTATTCGAAATCAACATCTATTCAGATCGTCGCTCGCCGCATACTTTCCTCCATCTGACGATCCTACCGATGCTGAATACGAGCGTGGCTACGCGCAATTCAAGAAAGGTCTCGAGGAAAGATATCCACAGGTCTGCGAATCATGTGGACCTCGGGTACTGGAAGAAATTCGCAAGAAGGGCTACGAAGCAAAATCTGACCATCTTCGTCGGATGATGGACCGCAGCAGAGCGAGTAAAACCCTTCGGCAGGCCAGAGCCCGAAGTTGGCAAAGCCTGCTCGTGTATGCAGGCGCTTTCGGATACTGGACCAGCATCTTCGGGCAGCTTACGTGGGATCTGACAAACGTTCTGACCCGACAGACAGTAGGGGAAGATTCAAATCTCAGTCCGCAAATCTCTGCTTCGCTATCGTCTTGCTTGGTTCAAACAATGCAATTTGGCCATATCCCCGAAAGATGTTCTGTTGACTTCGCTCCCCATGCTGGATTCGCCCTCATCGTAGGTCTGATGTCGATCTGGTGGAATCCGAAGCTGAGAATGAGGATCGAGGGTCGCACTGGTAGGTTCTCCGGATTCGCAGAGTACTACCACGTGCAGCTCATAACGCTCGTGGCTCGTTGCTTGTTTTGGGAAATTTTGAAAGATCCATCGGCGAGCGCCCTGAGCAAGCAACTGCCCCCAGCCCTTCATTCCTTTATGATTATTTTCACTTTGCTCTCGGTCATCGTGTCTCGTCGGGTTGTCAAGTTCAATACGCAGCCTTTGGTTGACTGGTCCGATAACTCCTGGGAACAGCCCTTGCGGAGTGGTGGAACGTCGCCGAGAATGAAACCAAGCAGCGACCCTGTCACCGCCCCTAGAACAGGTAGCGAATCTATGAGCTACAGATTTCCTGTAGACAAGCTCGCTCCTGTCACTTCTCCATCCCGTGAACCAACGACGTTTCCAACACCACCTCCGGGGGCTGACGAAATGGAGTGGACGCCCTCTGTCGCCAAGCCTGTGCTCCAGCCCAGAATTCACGCCCACCAAGTACAGAATATCTCCCCTGTGAAGGAGCCTTCGCCGTTCAGAGGCAGCTTGCCCCCTGCCCCCAGGCCGCCGGCATGGAACCTCCGTACACAGTCGTCTACGAAGCCCATTGAACAAGTTGTTCAACACAATATTTTCCAACAAGCACCCCCTCGACCTGGTGTCCAGTGGCGGTCAAAAGACAGTGGCCCTGAGACAGTATTCAGGCCCCCCTCATTTTTCCCAAAAAGCGATTTGAATACCGCTACGGGGCTTGAATCTCTCTTTGAGCGCGCTTTCAACATGGACCGTGAAGCCCCGGAAATAACCTGGGCAGAGCAGAACACAAATGCAAGGGCTGGGGCTTCCCTGCCTAAAACCTGGGGGTTCAAGTATCTTAGACTTGCACTGCTTTTAGGCTCACTCTTCGCTTGGATGCTTTCTCAGAATCATCTGCTCTCGATCCCGGGTAATTACATCGAGGCGGGCGCCCTCGGAAATGCCAGTTTGATTGCGGGCTTCGCCCTTCTCGAGGCAGTAAAGTCTCCGCTGATCAACTGGGATGGTATGGAGATCCTCGTCTACATTACGGAGCTTGCAGCAGCTGTCCACCTCGGAGCTCATCTGCCTCGAGCTTCCTTTGAGCGGGAATATTTTGATAGGTACGGGAAATTGCTTCTCGCATTTATGGCTTTGCAAGAAGGATTTGGCATGATCGGGCCTTACAAGAGACTCTTGACCTCTTCGAGTCCTGTGGTAGCCCAGGCCCAAACTTGTGCAGCAGGCGACTCATGTCCAAGCCAACCTGCATCCCCACAGCTGTCTCTACCGGCTTTGAGTGCAACCCCCTGGTCTCCTACTCAATCTTCATTCAACAATTCACCTCCGGCTCCATCAGTTGCTGGGAACTCCGAAGCTCCATCGCTTTCATTTTCATCGACTACCGATGGCTCTAGCTTCTCTTCGGCGCTGTCCTCCGTCTTGCCACCTACTCAGCGCTACCGGATTCTGTCCTCTCAAAGCTACAATACGTTCCCGGCGCCGACGTCGCAAAAGAATCCGCATAGCTTTACGATGAGTGACTTACAAGAAAATGATCCTCCCTCCGACTACGATCGAGACTCAGACACAGAGACCGTGGCTACAACAGCCACGACTCTGACAGATGCCACGGCACGGAACATTCGGTACGGTCGGTTCTCCGAATCTGACTTTGGCTCTGCTTTCTCCCCTCGCCGAAGTGAGCTTGGCCCAGGAATCAGTGGGCTCAGCCTGGAGGACGGACCTGCTCCTCGGCGTGTTACACGGAGTCAAACAAAGCAAGGCCTCGCGGGGCGTAAGTTCCTTGGTCGCACGCTTCGCTGAAATCCATCGACCGCTGATGTCCTCTTTAAACTCTTCAAATGCCCGTTCCTGCTTGATTTATGAACCTGATCCTGCGAAATGCCTTCCTCATATTTTCCAACTTTATTATGTCTAGCCCACAGCAAGAGAGCCTCGCGCTCTTTCCGCAATGCGTCTTTTGTTTCCTCCTCAAATTGTACTAGGCGAAAGCGAGCATCATACCACCCACAGCAGTGGTCATTTTTCATCAGTTTTGTTGTTCATCTTCATTGTTTCTTCTCGTTCCCCTCCTCCAACTTTCCTCCGTTTGATTTCTCCTGCCGTCTCCTCGCATTCAGGCTCGATACTTATGATGTACATGATTTTACGACACAACCCATGTGAATAAAATGCGGCTTGATTGTAACTACCAACTACCCCAAGGTCTTCCGTTGTGGCCACAGGTTCCCTATAGAAATCTAGCCCAAGAGGCGTCCGCCAGTCTGAACACATTTGCAATATTTCCAATTCCAGGCAGGTATCCTAGTAGAATGACGTCCGTTTCCAAGTGCTAATATCGACGGCCGTGCCCAATCTTACGCCCTTTTCTAGAGCTCGCATTTATGCGAATGCACAGGGTAGACGGGAGTTCCCATTACCTGGCGACGGAGTTCAGGCTTTCATGCGCGATGGCTTTCGACGTGCTGCGCACGGTTGACTGCGGGTTTGCTGGAATTTTTGGCGATGACGCTCTGCTCCGCATCGTCAATCTCTTGTTGAGCTAGATTGGTGACACCGAACAAATCGTCCATCTTTTCAAGTGATAATCCTTGGATGATAATCAGTATATGCACGTCAGGTATCGCGATTATCGAATCATACCTTTCGTCTCTGGGATAAAGAACCAGACAAATACAAACATCGAGAAGCAAAAGCACGAGAAGATGATGTACGTTCTGTGCGTTTTCAGATCGACCTCAAGTTAGTTTGAATCGAAGTAGCTCGTGGCTCGTCATCACCGACACACTAGGATCGAAAGCTCACCCATATCCATTAGCACCGACTGTAGTCAGCATCACCGGCACAGCGCGAGCCACCACAAAGTTGAACAGCCACTGGGTTGCAGCTCCGATGGCCACATTGAGCGATCGAAGTCTGGCACTTGGTATTTCGGATATGTAAATCCAGCAAACGGGACCCCAGCCGAATTGGAAGAACGCCGCGAATAAGAAGATGCAGACGAGGGCAAAGTAGCCAGCTGGGATGACTGGACTTCCTTCAACTGGAGGTGCGATACGCACGTATAAGCCGATGTACATCATCGCTAGGCCTTGGGCTATAGATGTCCACAGGAGGGAGCGGCGACGTCCGAGGGAATCGGCGACAAATACAAGGAAGACACCACAGCTGACCATCTTGACGATTCCGTAAACGCCGGTTGCAAAGAGATTGGTTGCTTTGCCCTCAACACCTAGCTAAAGACCGTCAAGATGGGCAAGTTAGTGACCAAACGATGGACTGCTAAGGCGCGCGGCATCAAGGCGCTCAGGAAGCCGAGGTTATGTGCTCACATTTTTGACTGGGTCTCGTTAGTGACAATGCTTGCGACTTCGTCAATCGTATCAAGCGGTAGACTCACAGATCTGAGGACTGTAGTAATTGATTGCATTGGTACCGGTCATTTGCTGGCATATCATTAAGAGCACAGATATGATGGCTCGTTTGCGGTTACCGGGAACAAGCCACATTTCTTTCATCAGGTCCAGAAAGCTTGAACCTCCAATGAGAAGTCGCTCTTGTTCCAATTGCTGAGCGATGCCTTGGAACTCTTCTTCCACATACGGGTGGTCCGCAGGGAGTGCTCGGACTTTGGAAAGAGTGGCGCGCGCTTCTTCCCATCGATCCTGCTTGGCCAACCAGCGGGGCGACTCATTGCACATAAGCATTCCTCCAAGTAGAAGCACAGCAGGAAGTCCTTGCATAGCTAACGGTACGAGATACATCGTAGACCCCGTCAGGTGCAAGAGACTGCCGTAATTGATCCAGAAAGCCAGCATGATTCCCATGGTGATAAAGAGTTGGTATAGGCCGGTCAGACCACCCCGAATCGCGCGTGGCGCATTTTCCGAGACATAGAGAGGATTGATCATTGATGCGGATCCCACACCGAAACCAGTAATTAGACTAATCATACGCAAGAATCTTCGTTAGAGGGCATCGACCCAAAAGAGCGATTGAAGGGCGTGAGATACGAAGAATCACATACCGACCGATATACATCGCTTCCAGGTGACCACTCGCTGCAGTTTGCATGACGACACCGATAATACCAAGCAAAGCAGCCCCAATCAGCGCATACCGTCTTCCATATCGATCAGCCGCTGGTGATGCTAGCAGGGCTCCGAAGAAGCAACCTGCTTGCAGGGTTGACACAATATTGGCGGATAGGTTCGCCTGTTCAGTTTTGTTCAGGCCCGACAAGCCATACTTACTGGAAACGAGAAGGGGAATAGATCAGAATTAAGAAGACAGACGACGGCAAAGACACGGGAAATATGACTCACTCTTCAAAAGGTGTCATTGTGAGGACTCCGCCAATGATACCAGAGTCCATCCCGAAGAGCATGCCACCAAAGCACGCCTACTCAGATGTTAGAATTTTTACTGGATCCCGGACAGAGAAGCCATAGAGTAGAGAGCCACGAACAGAACACGCCAGTGCGTACACTCTCCAACCATAAACCTCCTTAGGATCCGTCTTCATCGCCTCATTGTGAACGATCTTCTGAAGCAACCACGACATCTCGGTGGAATATAGTCTGCAGAACCAATGTCTCAAGTGTAAGTCGAGTCTTCAGGGAGCACAGTTCACCTGTCAGAGCGACGGTTGGATTTTAAGGATCGACTCGTAGGATTTCAATTGCCGTCAGTCACGGTCATGTGTGAGCAACCAGGCTATGGCGCTCTCGGTTTGAAGACATCAGCTGCGCCTAGCGTGGTCTTGGCTGAGTTGCTGGCCTGTATAACACATACCACGCTTGTGAGCAAGCTACACCTTCGAGGGGGAAGGTGCTCACAGCCAAGCGGGAGTCTCAAAATCTGGCTGCTGACAGGATACAGTGCTCGCTGTTGGTCGCGGCCGATGGTTCACACAGGTGGAAAATTCCTGTGAGGCTGGCTTGGCTGTACTGGAGTTCTTTCATCGGCAGGTCTGACGCCGTAAGCTCGCGCGCGGGGTTTCTTGGAATTCTCGAGACGAAAGATGGCCTTGCGGGATGCCCTCAAGAAGGACATGCCGAGTCGCAGACATCGTGAGAGCAGTCGTCGGAACCGGTGTCAGCCAACCACGAACGTCACCAGATATGCCAAAAGTGGGAAGTGTGGCTAAAATCTCACGTCGAAGAGACAAATAAATCGAATCAAATCAGACGGGCATCGAGTTGGGGATGTTACCAGCATGAGTTCTCGGCTAATTGTGATTGATCGGCGTCAGAATGCGGGGGATCGAGACCAGTCAGATCACATACACCCCGACGGGGGGTCCTTGGCATGTTAGAGCTTGCCAGGATTGGAACTTCTGAATGAGGATCAATTGAATCGCTCAACAGGCAGGAAGCTGTCTGGCGTGCTCGTTCGAGGCCAAGTGAGGGAGAGAGCAGCAGTACCACGGCACTACCGCCTGGTCCGGTCAAGCTCGTCTCCCTGACTTCTACATCAATCGAGGTTGCATGAGGGGGTACCAATAGCACCAGATGTCAACTGCTCTGTACGCTTGGAGGACAAGACATCCTAAACACACCAGTCGCGGGTGATGGAAGGGATGTGCTCGCGGAGCAAAAAGTTAGAGAGAATATTCATGAATCCGTATTGACCTCAACTCTGTCCTGAATCAGCTTAGGTGTGAGTGCTCAATTCTATATTTCTCCCCGTTTGTTAAAGCCAAGCTCCCAAGACTCCCAACACGTGATTAGATCGAAGATTGATCATCCAGCAATGACGAAGGAAGGTCCCCGGCATGAAGGAGCATATCGCGCTTCAGCGCGTTGTGAGACCTCGAATATCATGCCCTTGACCACGTCTAGCTAGGTATTCAGGGCTAGCATGTGTGTTTCGGGACCGGGGGCGGCACTGCAGAGATTTACCCATGATGGAGGGCGTCCTGTAGGATGTCGCAAATACCGATAGATCGATTCACTTTAATTGTACATGAAGTGGACAGACACGATTACTCGTGTCCAACAAGCAGGCGTCAGAGCATGATTCTACTGGCCCCCTAGTAGATCGCCCAAGTATTCTGCAAGTTCCTGCAAAAGGGCATCGTCAACGTCACTAAAGTCTGAGAGGCCCTGTCGGAGCATCTCTGTCCAGCGCTCGGTAGTGATTTCATGCAGTTTCTGGCCATTTAATATGTCCTGCATATGGCTTGCCTGATCAGACGCAACTGCACCATCTTCTGACAGAGAGACATTGCTCTCGATGATGGCGCCATGTTTGAGGCGGAGAAAGACGCGAGTCTAGTGCAAAGTCAGCCATTCTAATATCAAAACGGTCAATTCAAGGAAGATGAAGAACCTACTGATGAGGGAAGTGTTGCAGGTAGCGGGGGACGTTCACGCGGATCATCCTCCGTGGGATAAGTGGAGAAGGTGAATTGAGGTGTTTGAGTATACTTCCATTCCAACGACTTGAAACACATTAGCAAAAGCCTGGTCCCAGAGACTCGAAGCCATGATCCCCACTTACCCGCAACTCCGCAATTCCCTTTCGAATGTCAGGCTCTTGCTCGCCGTGGGCATCACTCACTGTACCCATAACCCAGCTGTTGCCAGCATACAGGTCAGGTTCGCCAGCAAGCGCACGACGTGCGCGACGGACAACATCAGCATGTACTTGGTACAGAGAGGCAAACTCTTCGACGATGTTATCCATTACAGTTTGCATGGAAAAGTATGAATCTGCTAGCGCACTCGAAACATTTCCAACAGGCGAGCGGACGCTGTCTACGCCTCGCGCCTGAATGTAGCCACGGGCAGGCGAGCGCAGGAATCGCCCCAGATCGTAGATATTGGGTGAATCGAGGAGGCAGGTGCCGTGATGTAGCGCTCGGTGACGAGTCAGCTTGAAGGCCGACCCAGACACTTTTCGAAACTTCGGTTCGTCGCTCGCTGGACCAGTGGCAGGCGATTTCATCACAATGTCGTGTCGTTCATTGACACTTGTGTTGACTGCGCCAACGCGGTGTAGCGCTCGAACAACCATCTCGGCATGCTTATCGCGAGTGAATGTGGTGCGCGGCGAAATCACGCTATAGTTGAGGTTCCCTTCATCATGGAAAACCGCACCGCCCCCTGATCGTCGCCGAACGTAGACAGCGGCATCGTGGCGGCCCGAATTGAATCGGCGATCATTCTCCAATACGCGCAAATCAGTCTCCAGCCATGGGTTTTGATTGCGACCGATCACCACGCACGGGCGGTTGATATAGAGAAATAGTACGCTTGAGTCGGCAGGCGCGTTCTCCAGCAGAAAGTGCTCGATGGAGAGGTTAACGTACGGATCAGTCGAGAGCGACTGATAGATTTGGTGCTGGGATGACGGCCGGCGGGCGAGATCCGAAAAACGTTCAAGTGGGTAGGAGGAATTGTGGCGTACCTGCCTAACACATCCGCGGAGTGACCAGGCAAGACATGGTCGGAGTAGCATTTGGAGAGAGCGAAGAGGTGATCTGACATCTCTGGAGAATCACCGTAAACCCGCGGAGGGCCGATGGTCGGTGACGCTAGTCCGAGATAGGAAACTGTTGATGAGTCGATTTTTGGGGGCGTCCGGATTCTTTTTCTTTCCTGCTGTGCTTCTTTATCTCATTTCTTCTAATCTAAGTATCTTTCTGGACAACTTACGATTACTCGACATCTGCAATTGGATTTCGTTGCATCTGAATAGCTTCCGTATCCCCCAGAAGACAACCCCTCAGAATCCGCAATAATGTCGACGTGGGGTGAGCATTTCCGTGTCACTACGTAAGATGCCCCTCCAAACAATACTGAAATCACTATGCTGATAACATTCGTTTCAGCTATGGCGAGTCGCACTGCCGCTCTGTCGGTTGTATCGTCGATGGTGTCCCTCCTGGCATGGAGCTCACAGAGGCAGACATTCAGCCTCAAATGACTCGTCGCCGTCCAGGCCAGAGTGCCCTTACCACTCCCCGCGATGAGAAGGATCGCGTTGAGATTCAGTCAGGCACTGAGTTCGGTGTCACGCTAGGCACACCGATTGCCATGATTGTGCGCAACGAGGATCAGCGTCCCAAGGACTACGGTGGCAGCACAATGGATCTCTACCCCCGCCCTAGCCACGCCGATTTCACTTACCTTGAGAAGTACGGTGTGAAGGCCAGCAGCGGTGGCGGCCGTAGCAGTGCCCGCGAAACGATCGGTATGTCTTACAACAAGCCTGGAGAATACCCATCTATAACAATGCAAGGTCACAACTAACACCTATCCTTTCAGGTCGTGTCGCCGCTGGCGCAATCGCCGAAAAGTACCTGAAGCTGTCCCACAACGTCGACATCGTCTCCTTTGTCTCTTCCGTCGGCAACGAGCACCTCTTCCCTCCCACTCCCGAGCATCCTACCGCTTCCACAAACCCCGAATACCTTCAGCTCCTAGAGACCATTGACCGCCCAACGGTGGACAAGTTCATTCCTGTTCGTTGCCCTGACGCTGATGCCTCCGAGCGCATGACCAAGGTGATTGAGAAGTTCCGCGATGCGCACGACAGCATCGGAGGAACCGTCACCTGCGTCATTCGCAATGTTCCCGTCGGCCTCGGCGAGCCCTGCTTCGATAAGCTAGAAGCTAAGCTTGCGCACGCCATGCTGAGCATCCCCGCTACCAAGGGCTTCGAGATTGGCTCCGGCTTCGGCGGCTGTGAGGTGCCTGGCTCCACTCACAACGATCCATTCGTTGTCTCCGATGATGGTCGTCTCAAGACCAAGACCAACAACTCCGGCGGTATTCAGGGCGGTATCTCCAACGGTGCCTCGATCTACTTCCGTGTCGCTTTCAAGCCTCCTGCGACTATTGGCCAAGCCCAGAATACCGCCACTTATGATTTGCAGACGGGTACCTTGGAGGCCAAGGGTCGCCATGACCCATGTGTTGTTCCTCGTGCGGTGCCAATCGTCGAGGCCATGTCTGCATTGGTCATTATGGATGCCCTGATGGCCCAGTACGCGCGCGAGTGCGAGGAACATGCTGCCTACGTTGACCACCACTTTGCCCACCAAGCCTACCACTGCTCCTAAGGAGGCATGAATATCTGGAGTCGAAGTGTTGACTACGCTGTTACAGCGATCGGGTGTTTAACCCGGGAAAAGGGCACGCGAGGGTTGGAAAACCTGTGGGCCTGCACCTGGATCTGTGGCATAAGTGCTCCGGTGCCTCCCTTCCACCCGCAAGACATTACATTTTTTTTTCGGTTGTGAATCTTTGGTTGTGAGACTTGAATGAGCAATGTTTAGAGTGGGCTAAAATCGAAAGTCCCTGAATGAAATGCATGAGCTACGATTAGACTTCTCGTTATTTGCCCAGTCAAGCAGTCTACCGTCTGCCGTTTAATTGAAGACGTAGCAGTATACTGAGCATAAAAGGATGCTCACCATTCAGCAGCAGCTAGCTGACAGAGTCTTTGCTACGGATTAGTTAAACAATCACCTCTAAAAGTGATGAATTCTGTATTCGAAATATCATTTGGCCTATAACTAGACTCCAGCTGGGAATTTGTGCGCCCCAAATTCTTGACAGTAAAGCATCAAATCAGTGATCATCATAGGCGTAAAGGACATCAATCAAGAGCCCACATGGGCCAATTCCAGTGAAGAGAGATCTCCTCACGGAACGAGCTAAACCACAAATTGTACAAAGAAGAGAAACAATCAACACGATGGCGAGAAATCACGGTTTAAGCCGTAGAAAGTACTCCGGTGCGATCAACGGCTTACACGCCGGCTGCTAATCGAGTCGCTGACGCGTCGGAACCCACCGCTAATAGATCGTTCAGAAATACTATCCATATCTCGTGCCGAGGCATTAACGACGCGCAGCTTCTCACGGGGGACTGTGTAAGTCATCTGCACACTTCGACCCTCGGCGGCACCTTCGACGTCCCAGTCGTCGGGATCGTCACATGTGTCGTCGTCACCAAGATAGCCCGGTGCCCCGATGAACAGATCATCGCGTGTGCCACGAGGCATGCTGAAGGGGACTTCGGAAAGGCGTTTCCTTGCGTTCCAGTCTCTGGCGCCTTGCTTGCGGCGAAACAACTCGGCAGAGGCACTTACAGTTCGGCGAGGAGAATTGGAGCTGCTTCCAGTCGGCGCGACGCCCAAGCCGGCGTAAGTGCTATGCTGGTCGATACCGGAAGCTCGATAGGCAGTGCTATCATCTTCACCATCAGCTTGTGAGTACGCGCCACCGCGTCGTGTCAGTGTCAGTGCGCGACGGACAGTATCCATCATCCAATCTGACGCCTTGGGTTTGGATCCCGGGGGTAATTTGGAGGGTGAGGCGCTCCTTGGAGTGATGGGGCTGGTGGAATCGTTGTTGTTGTGAAGAAGACCCTCAATCTCCGCCTGCCGATGGGAGAAGTTTGTCTGAGCAGTGGAATAGGACTCCGTTGAGGATTTCTCCGAAGGAGCAGCGGGTAAATCTCCGTCGCTATGTGGCGTCGATGTGATGAGATTCTCGGCACCATGGCTTCCCAGACTTGAGTGATGTTCCACCAGGACAGGTTTGGCCTGAGGGACTTGTCCAGTCGGCTTGGCTGTGGCCGAGCAGAAGGAGAACCCCGATGAATCAGACAGGTTTGTGGACGTTCTTTCACTTTTCGTTGCCGGTGAAGCTCGACCATCCGAACCAGAGCCGTTATCTTTTCGGCGGGTGTAGAATGGACCGAGGCCCACCCCAAAGATGGTTGGACGAGAAGTAGACAAAGGGTCATCTCTGAACACGTCCTTGGTCTCTTTGTTGACTGTGCCAGGTTCATTACGAACTTCCGACATGAGTCCCTCGCGAGACATTGCTTCATCCTCGTCACACTCGTCGATGGGATGGATTTCGCTCAGCTCGCTGCGGCGATACTCGGCGAAGTTCAAGGGTCGATATGCCCGTGGCTGACTCACTGGGGACGCAGGTTTGGTAGGGCTCGAGGGATCAGCTAGTAGACCTGTTCGTTCGGCGGTTCCATCACGGTGTTCGTCCCAGGAAAGAGGTCGTGAAGCGCTACTGCGAGTCGACGACCAGGGTTGAGTCACAGAGACGAGGTTTTGTCTCTCAGTCATTTGCGAGCTTCTTATGCTGCTTGACTGGTGGCGCTCCTCTCCGGTCCAGAAGTGGGCACGCTCAGCCCCGAGAGCCAGATCGCGTAGTTGTGAGTCACGCCTGTTTCGTATGGCGCGCTTTCGAAGGTATCCGCATGCACAGATAGCACTCACTACAGCCAGGGGCAGACCAAGCCCGATCCCAAGACCGAGGCTCAATTTCTGGGTTGAGGACAAGCCGTGATGGCGAGACGTCGGTGGTGAGATCTTGAAGTTTGGGTTCGAGTAGGAGGTAAGCCAACTGCTCGAGGAAGTGTTGAAGAGATAGACTTGTGAGTTGCGCTCAGTGAGGGATGATGCTCGCTTGGATGACGAAGTCTTTGGGATAATGTAGCCACCGGAAATCATCAAAACGTCTCCCGGAAGCATCACGACTGAATGACCAAATAGCCCTGTTCCCGCCGCAATACCTGTTCCTGTCTGAGAGGGTACTGTCCATGTCCATGGCCCAGTGCCACCATACTCTTCGCCAATGTTCAAGATCGCAAGTTGTGGATCTGCTGGGGTCGACGTATCCCCCACCCAGCCGCCCACAACGAAGACCTTTGTACCGTCTTGTGAAAGGGCTACTGCATGACCAGATCGGGGCTCTACCATGTGTGTATCTCTAATGGCAAGCTCCGTTCTCGCCGTAGGCTCTGAATCCACCGTGACGAACGTCCAACTGTTCTGCGGCACAGAGAAGATTGCCAGCTCGGACATGTTAAGAAAAGCCTGCTGAGTATGACCACCTATCAACAGGAAGTCTTGCTGGGTCTGGGTGCGAGACTTGGTTTCGAGCAGTGCCACAGCGGACATTCCTGCCTCGGGCACGGGGGGTGCACGATTCCCGGTGATCTGAGCAGAGTACTTGGAATCTTGTGTCGGGTCCTGATTGATCATCACCATGGACTGTGAATAGTTGGCTGCTGAGACCCATCGGTCGCCCGTACTGTTAGCAAACGGACACATGCCTCCAAAGGAATAAAAAGTCGGCGCGCCAGACCGGCTGGAAGTGAAAGAGAAGCTGGCCGCCAGGTATTTCGGCTTAAGAAGACGTTCTGTCGACACTACATCAAATTGTGTCCAGGACCCATTTCCGATTGCGCTGGTGTTGTCTGGCTGGAATTGCCAAAGAGTATCGCGTGCCGTCGCCTCATCCTGGCAATTCCCCGCATAGATCGAGATCACACCACTGGCATCGATGACTGGAGTAAATGTCGAGTTTTGTTCGGCGTTTTGAAACGGGACCTTGGGTAGCAAGGTCTCATATTTTGGAGTTTGGACATCAAGGTCTCGGGAGACGTTTAGTGACAAAAACTCAATCCCATGGTCAAGGGTGGTGCTGGGCTGCAATACGTAGACCACAGCATTATCATGGAATGGAGAAAGGAAAGCTGATGAGGGGGTGTAGACGAGGGCAGTGGTGGTCTTGTTGAAAAAAGCGAAGAGAAGTGCGGCGTGCAGAATCGGGCTGCGTTGGCAGCCTCGACGGAGCTTCATCGCGTGTCTGCGAGAGTAGTCTGAGACACCAAATCAAGGATTGCAGGGCATTCCAGAATCGGCGAGCATGGTGCCACGCGGTTGACAGGGGCAAACAGCACGTTCGAGACCGTGGTGGTTGAAGCTCGTATCTCTCCCAGCGACCGCTACTGACTTGTTGAGATCTTTCCAATGGGTTTAGGTACACAGAGCGTTGATACAGACGTAGGTCATGCAATGAAGGAGAGTGGGTGTGTCAGTCACTCGAATGAATATTTTAGATCTCTACTTTTGTGACGCGGCTCCGGAACCCGATGGCGCCCAAGTCATCTGCCTCTCTCAGTTTCTTCCCCACCTGTATTCTCCGTGCCGACCACACCTTTGCGCGTAGGTAAACATACTTTCTCGATCCTCTCGTCTTGACTCCGTAGTCATCGATGCAGATCCGGCCAGATTCGAGCCGAGGTGGATTGTGGGCACTAAATGCGGGTGACTGAGCCAATAAGCCAGCTGTATGATGTGATGGGTGATGTCTACACTGCCCCTCAGCAAAGATTAATAGAGTGCCCGGCGGCGGAAACGGTAAACATTCCATCAGCGGGTGATCACATGTCGGTTACTCAGGCAACGGGCCAGATCACGGCCAGGTGGGTCACGCGTCTCTTTCGCAGATCGGAAGAGATTGAGCCATTGCGATAGAAATAGTCTGCTATTTTGACTCAATGTACACTTCGTCCGAGGTTACTATGAGGAATTGATTTGGAGATAAGGCTTTGACTCTGCAGCATATCGCCAGCCACTCAGTCAGTCACTGAAGTAGAGACTGAATCACTAGACCGTCTGCTCGACAGGAGGACTTCTTTCCAATGCAGTGGAGCGTGACTTAATCTAAGATAAAGTGGGAGGCGTACCAGTAACAAGGCATGTAGCGGGGCTAGATAATTTTAGTGCTCTTTTTGTCTTCCTAGATATCAAGTAACTTTACTCGCGCCGTTTCGCACTTGCCTGCGACTGCGTATTTGTATACCACCTCTCTTATCTTATGCGATTGTGAGCGTCTGCGGAAAAATGCGATTAATTGCGATCGAACATCTACCATACGGGCTCGGGAGTTTATACAAAACGTTCGGCGATTCTAAACAGTCAGGCGATATTGCTAACGCCTGTATGTGATGATTGAATTAAATGGGCCTCCGATACCATCTACGCGTCTGCGTAAAACCTATTTATGCAACTAATTTGCCGGCTACTCCCCTTCGACAGTAGGTCTACTAGGCCGACCGTTACATTGAATACGCTGCAACAGCTGAACATGCCTTACCAGTGGGCAATGGGGGCTACCTTGACAGTATCACCGCGGTCCCGAACGTCCCATTGCCGATCTGCTACTGATTTTCCGATGCACTAAGATCGATCATCCACTTTCGAGGTACTGTAATCACTTTTCTATTTACTCAGCCGAGCGTTGTCAGGAAACAGCAACCTACAGGAGAGCGTACACAGATGCGGAACTCCTACTAATAACCTTCAGTGCTATTCACCGCAAGAATGAGGGAATGATTGTCCTCGTGCCTGAAGCCGAGGCGACTCGTTCATCTTTGCTTGATGTGAATTGAACGACAGATTTCCCACACCCGATAGAAGATGGATCACGCGAGTATATAGCTCATGACCAGTAGTCAGTGACTTACACTTTAATGGAGATCGCCAACCGACCTGCGCCATGCTGGGAACTAAGAGAATTGGAGCGACGTGGATAAACTCGGATGATTTGAGTGATTACTATTCCTGAGCCTCGAGTTGCTGAATCTGAGAGGTGTGCTCATCTCCCATTCACTGAAGGGTAGGACACATTTCTCCCCTTCTTGGAGCTTGCTCGAACCTGAATGTGTTGATGGATAAGAGTTATATCCACCTCCACCTACGGCTGTCATAACTGTTACATGGAAGGTCGTTCGTCCATCATGATCGGCCTTCTCGGTATTCAGCGCTAGCACTTATGGGAATCAGAGGAAACCCCGATCTCAAAGATCTTTTGAGTCTTAAATCTCCTCTGGGAAGCGAGCTCGTCAACGGTGTCGATCTAAGAAGCCTTCACACCCTTGACCACAAGAGCATGAGTGAGTGGCATATGTGCTGATATCGCAGCCCACTCAAGTGTGTTTCTTTGGCGATCATTTAAAGCGCTTGCGAGATTCTTGCCCGTTGTCGGCAATATAGCAGCGTACTCGAGAAAAGTCTTTAATTGCCTTTACAGGGAGCAGAGTCATGATGAACTTCTACATTTGAAGCTCTCATGTTCGGTACAACAGCAATAGTCAGGTCTTCGCATTTGTGTCTACAAATTGATTTTGGGGGCTTATGAATTCAATACCTGGATGGTTCGGCATGTCGGGCTTGGAACACCTGCTCAACTTGGTGCATTCGTCAGTCGGTAGACACATCCTGTCCTCGGGGTACTAATGAAAGCAGGTGCCAGTCATCTCGTTATGATAATTGCGCCCATGATCCCGAATCACATCTGGCGACTGGCTTTTGCTTTTTAAGGACTATGAGGCGTAAGATGAGCAATTACGGTGAACTTGCGGCTCTTCCTTGATATTAGACCCTGGAGGTGCCACCACAAGCTCATTGTCAGCTCCCTACATTCGATGCCTTAACAGACCACGACCAAGCATGAGCCGCTCCCAGACGATTGTCACTAGCTACTTGTGATTGAAAGTAGTCTGTGCACTTTGGGCCTATATCAAATGGAATTCGTCGATACTACCTAAGGCTTGGATTGGGCCTTGAGCTGGGTACTGGACTCTGTCTTGTGGTCGTCAAGCTCCTCAGCCGCAGCGACACGAATCTACACTTATCTTCTTTGTAGCGATGACATCGATAAGTCTCAGTTGTGACTGATTGGGGTTTGTGCAGCAACAGGGCTCGGTTCTATCGATATTCACAACATCAATGATCATTCTGAGAAATGGTTGCCCGCGATGTAAGTGACTACTTTTTCACTGTCCCACTCGTCACTTCTTAGTCAATTATGGCCTCTAGTGGGGACTTTACCGCCCTATGAAACTGGAGGAGACGAGAAGGCAGAGGTGTCTGATGCTTTAAGGCAGACAAGTTCTCCCTTTAGTGACCATATGGACTTTGATCTTGTTACCATCCATTCTGCCCAAAGCTATTCGACGTATGAAGAAGCGTGAAAGTGGACGAAAGTTGAATGTGACTACGAAAACACACTCTTCATACTTTCAACGTAGAGTGTCTATAATGCGGATATAGAGAAGGATGGATTCAAGATGTGGTGCACCAACAGTACAGATGCGATATGCTCTTCTACTACACACCAAAGCAGGCAGACTATATCTCAGCTTGCAAACCAAACAAAATGAGTAGAGAGGACGTTTCTGTCTGCGTCAATAGGCAGTCTCACCAGAAGTATCAACCCCACTCACTTTCATTACTCATGAAAATGCAAGACTTACACCTGCACGACTTGGGGACGGAAACCTTCTTTACCCCTGTTTGGCCTTTTTGAGTCGCAGGCGTCTGTGCACTTAATCGCTTCTTGCACGGTCGTTGGAGAAGCCCCTCGGGATTCAACCTTGGGATCAGACTGGTCTCAGTACGTATCGAACCATGATCCTCAGGAATATTGCCATACGAGTTCCTGTACGAATGTCACTGCGTCTCCTGACCCATCCAGTAGACTATGTACACACCGAATTCTCCAAGGCTCTGCTGATGTGGTTCTACTTTGTCCCCGTGATTTGCTTCGCTTCCATTCCTGACGGATGAATGGAGGCAGTAAAATACCTATTACCTAGTAGATATATACAAACGAATACCAATGTGAGAATTGACCAGTGTTCCAAAGCTAAATGGAAACAAACTAGAGCTGACCTGCATGAAGCGAGTGGGGTAGTCAGTCGAATAAGAAGCCCGCATTCATGGAACTGATCAGTGCCCGTGGGGAGTTTTTTGAGGGACGCTTAGGCCCATCAAATAGTAGTAGTGCAGTATTGTAAGTTCTTCGAGGTTCGAACTCGTATCCATGCAGCCTCGTGTCTGGTGCCAGACGGGAGCCGCCTACATTCACAGCTCATCCCATATTGTGTGGTGATATAGTAGGTCAAGGTCATGTTCCATACCTTTTGTTAGATGATAATGAACCACTAGAACCTTATAGGTAAGATGGGCAAAACACTTTTGCCGAGGACCATGAATCTTGTTATGAGAATCGAACTGTGTGCAGTGTACACTGGTGCATTACCGTCAACGCCCCTGTGAATTGCACACTTGGTGGGCATATTTGGCGAGTATGATATAAATGTCACATGTCCCTGTGCTCAATTCTTATATACATAAAAAGAGGAAGCGATTTGCATGAAATTCATGAATATTCGCGTTATGCATTGCCCATGCTCACTGCTCAGCGGCTGATATGTACATTGTACAATGTACATAGCAAAATCCCCGAGACCAAGTAATTCTCCGCCCCCGCCCGCCGACGCCCATGCCCATTGCCCACAGCCAACAAAGTCTCAGAAATCCATGCCCCCAAGTCCCCCCTCGTGGAATATCTCCGAATAAGCCCACCGTGAAGCCTCGAAGGCTCCAGATGCGCGAGAATTTCTCCGTCTCCACCCTCAAGGCAATCTGTCCAATCTGCCCGTTGGGATCTCGCTCATCTGCACATACATTGTGATTGTACACTTGTACTGTACTGTAAGAACGACTGACCAACTCATTTGACAAGGTTTGCGCTTCCGAATTCTACTGGAATTGAATTGTCTGTGGGGTTGCGGTCCACCCGGCCATAGGCCCGGCGAACCTACCAGAAGTGAGGAGTAACCACGTCGTGATGGGGGATGGGTGGAAGCCCGATGTGGGCCACTGCAGGAGATGGGAAGTACATTAGATCGTGATACTCATGGTCAATGTTGCCGAAATAGGTAGATGTTCAATGGCTTTACTAGATAGTAAACTGGGATGCACTGAATTATACAACTTCGAATGACCTT